AATTAAATCTTTATGAAGAGAGCCTTCCATCTCTGAACCTTGTGGCGGACCGAAAATGCATACTAACTCAAAAATAGCAATAAAGTTATTACGTCCAAAAATCAGTATAGTAATAAGAAATTATACGTTATGAACACAATTAAAAGTTACGGTACGTTACTTAAATCATCTGGCTGGTGCGTGTTCTGTTGCGTTTGATACCAGAATCCACTATTACAGATAATTGGTAATTCGAGTTAGGTTGATATGACTCCAATAGTATTACCAAACGTAGAATACTATGAGAATGTCACAACAGTTTATAAATATAGATGATAGTTAGTTAATAATTCGGTTATCACATCCACAAGCATTGTAGAACTAGAGGCGTGTGTATAAGAGTGTATTTATTTATGAACAATTAACGATGTCGTGCTGTGTTGGATTCAAAAACGAAAGGATTTGTTCAAAGTCATGCACTTAAACAACAAGTACAATCGTTTAATGATAAATTTACAAACTGTGAAAATTGACAAGATAAATGCAAAAGATATCAAAAGCTATTGACAAAATAAGTTTATTAAGCCTATCTACATAACCTTTACCCATTGAAGTAGAGACATCTAATAGATAACTGTCCGTTAGCTTACAGCATCTTTAACATCTCCAGACCTCCTACAAATACTTAAGCTAGGTTCCAATAAAAACCTTAGGGGTAACACCAATAATTTTGAGTAAACGCAGCAGAACAGACTGTAGACATACCTACTACTCCTTAACAGTAGTCAAATGCCGGAATTCTTTGTGGACTGAGATAATCCAAGCAACTTTCTAGTAGTCCTGTGAGAAAAAAACGTGACATATTCTTAAGGACAAAGGACGATATCTTGCTATGATTTACTAACTCTTTTCTTTTACCATTTTTATCGATAACATATCTTGGTTCGTGCCTGAAAATCCACAGCTACTAGATATAGAAGCTCGTTAAGCTAAAGCTTCTTCTATTCGTCCAGAACCATTTGAACTAGCTATTCCTAAAGATATTGGGTATTGAATGACCTTGACTTAAATTTGAAGGAGTTTTTACTCGCAGTTGTTTCGTGAATCTCATTCCAAGTAACCCTGAACACATTAGGAGAATCGTTATTGTCAACTGCTCTTAAGTAAGCCTATGAACTTATGACTGTTACGCTTCCGAACGGCTTTTTATTCAACTGATAATATCTATTTCATTGAATTCTTCTTGTCAGTGTGAAACAGACATCAAAGTCAATTTCATTTATAAAAAAATAAGTTCCTCTTTATTGTTTCGTTACTCGAGCCATATGTTTGACTCAAATAGGGTGTTATTACAAGTATGTACACACACCTAAATAATATTCCACAAGCGCTTGTAGAAAATGATTAAAGCGTGGGTGACCCATAACCAAAAAATCATGTGCTATGCAAAACGCTTTTTAAGCCACGCTTTCAAAGTTTACTTCTAAAATTCATCTTTGGCCAGTTTGATAGTAGCCAAGTGGATGGATTGACTTCACGCTAAAATTAAAGGCCTGTTATGGTAAATGTGATTGGTCAGACCATAAATTATAGTTTCTCCTGAAGCGCAAATAAAACTATACGCGACATTTTTGGGAATGAATACGTTCATGTTACTGTTACCTAGGTGCGTAACGAAACAAAACGTTTATTTTGTCAACCACAACCAGAAAAGTGTATTTTATGGCGCATTTTATAAAAAGTGACTTCATTAAGTAGGGTTGTGAATTAGTGTGGTTACTCTTAACCATTGTAGAATATTTGCCCATGTTTTCCTGGAGGAAGTGTGGATGAGTGCTGAGGTCAATCCAAATGAAACCCAATGTCGTGTATTTAATTCACTCCACCTACTGAGGTTTATTTATTCAGAAAGACGTACTACCACTTGTACAAAAAGTATGGTTCAGAGCGAATTGTATGACTATACCTGGTTACTGGCTAACATCAACTTATCCTTTACTATGCACTAAATGTCCTAGAGTAGATAATGGTTAGATATCTGTAATGCCGTCTCAAATACTGTAGCAGATGATCTACAGCTTGATCTTAAGATTTTTCATCTCTATCTCTATAACTCGACGCATTGGATATATTCCAGTCTCAACATACGGAATCACTTGTTTGGAGACTTGTTGTCAAATCTCAAAAACTTGTGCGTCTACTGTCTTTTTGGGTTGTATTTTACAACCAGAAAATACTAGATTGTTGTAAGGTTTAGTCTCCAATTGACGGAGAGCTAATGATCTTATCTGAGTTGCGGATAGCCTAGGTTAACAAACACTGGATATATATATATATATATATATATATATATTACTATCGTGAGATTTTCGTACATAACAACCAACCATATGTAATACTTACAAGATAAGTGAAGCGGTCATTGTACTCAACCACCTCGCTAAAATGAATCGTTTGAATTTCTAACAATGGTCATTTGAATACATCACACAAGGCACTATTCATCCCTCACTTGTGTAAGATTTGATACGCTTAAGGAATTAGGGCCTGTTAGAGTTTGCAATATTTGTTTCAGAAAGCTAGCCAACTACATAATTTGAGAACCGATTACAATTTATGCCCCTTAAATTCTACGACAGGTAAGTGTTAGTATCAGAATTACTAGAATTTGTAACTAGTATTGTTTGACCCAATAACCTGGAAACAAACTTCTTTTGTTTTGGACCCGTTGTAATAAACAAGAACTAATATGATGAAAAACAAATATATAGTTAATAAATAATACAGAAAAATCTACCATATTATATGATGCTAATTATAATACGATTTTATGATTAAAATGAATACTAGTTTACAGTGGTGACTTTCTGGCTAAGGAATTGACTGCGTTGGCGCCTTCGTGATGTTAGTCTGGCTGTAAAAGGTTGGATCAGTTTTGCTCTATGCTTGTGAAACCTGGCCTCTCCGAGTATAGGATGTTAGACATCTCTCTGTGTTCGATCATCGTTGTCTCCGAAGGATTGCTGACATCCAGTGGCAACACCATGTTAGTAATCCAGAGGTTTGGCATCGTGTGTTCGGGCGCAGAGACGATAATTCAATTGGTATCACCATCTTGAAACACCGACTTCGGTTGCTTGGACATGTCCTACGAATGTCGTCCCAGAGACTTCCACGCCGTGCATTATATGCCGACTCTGGGACTGGTTGGAAAAAGCGGAGAGGTGATCAGTGTTTGACATGTCGTGGTATGAAAAAAAGCTGCAAAGTTCCGACTTCTGTTGGTCCTTCACGACTCCCTGTCTGGGGTCCGAGAGATGGTGTAACACAGTGGCTAGTGACGTTATCAGATATGGCTCAGAATAGAAGGCAGTTGCTATTCTGCTGTAACCTTTATTTACTTTCTTCATAAACAGTGATCATAACCTCCTTAATTGAGAAAATTCTTCTGGTTGTACATTTCAGTCCGCCTTATCTTTTCATCCCTTCTCTTCCTACTTTCATTATTTTGTATGGTTCATATGTATCTGATGCCTTTTTGTACCAATATGTATGTGTCTAAATAAATAAATAAATAAAAATTACAAATGTCCGGATGACGGTTTCCATATACTTCTATGTTCAAAATATCGGAAATCTCTTTATATGGGACAAGAAGCTCCCATTATACTAAATTAAAATTGAGTCATCAATACCAAAGCTTTTGGGTTGTAAACGGTGAAAAACTTAATGCTTGGCATTCAAATATTTCACTTTTACGTGATAACGATTGCTTCTAACGCAGTCAAACTGTAAGAAATGATGATTGTCTGATGTTTCGAAACAGCCAGTGGATACCTTCCTCTACTTTACTTGTCACTTAAAAAATTTTGAAAGATGTATACAAATAGTTTAAAGTGGTTAGAGAGGAAAAAGGCTTCATGTAATGAAATTTCATTTCTAGTAGCAATTGATCAACGATGCCGCCAGGCCCCCAAATGGTGCACATGGACTCCAGTATCCTTAGGGGACAAATAGCGTATGAACCAATTGTTGGTCACCGGCTACCATGGGAATGCATGGCCTCACGATGCTTCACTGCCTCGTGGATCAGACCTTTAGGTCAAAGGCTCGGGGTTGGCCCCCTAAGGGAACCACCTGCTTCAGTTTGGGCACCTGGGCAGTATCATATCCCTCACACAAATAAATGAAATGACAGTTTTTTGTGTGGCACATGTGTATCTGGTGCTCCTTTGTACCAATATCTATGTGTTTAAATAAAATAAAAATAAACCAGATAGGAACCGGCGAGACTATAATTTATGGGCAAACCGATCAGATGTAAAATAACAGGTCATGGATGTCGGCACAAAATTCATTCATCCAATTGGCCAAATAGCTTTTTGGCATTTTAGTTGATGTCAGTTTGTGATGAAAAACCTAAATCTAATTCCTAACCATAACCATCAATTTTAAATCATAATTCTAATCCTTAACTCTGCTTTATAACCCTCATTTAGTCCTAGTTAGTAGGTGAACATTCCAAAGGTCACTTCAGCGTTGCTCAAAGGTCGTCCATAAATTATTGTCTCACCATATTTTTGATTCATTTGCTTCTCCTTCAGTCGATTGATCCTTACTGTACCATCTTAAGGCAACCTAAATTGGTACGTCTTCCTATAAATATGTGTCCTATCGGAAGTGAATTAAGAAGTTCAAAAACCAATGTTTGTAATGAGGGCCAAAAATTAGGATTGCGATCTGTAATAAAGTTCTGATTGCTGATTGCTAAGCAACAGATTTGTTACGACAAAGTGACTCATTATTCATACAAATGTTTGGTATATAGATATTTTAATCAAATACGTTTTCAAAAATAGTCTTATTTTTTTTATCTTTAGTATTATACAGTGAACATTGTTGCCTCAAGAGGTGAAATTCAACAAAACATTCAAGTCATAATTCTTGTACCACTGAAAGACGTAAATTTATAAGAAGTTAGCAATAAAAGTCTAAGATTACCATTTAGCTGAGGGGTTGGAATGCACAGTACATCTGCAAACAATCGGAAGCCCATACGTGTATGGGTCGATGGATGGTAATCGTATTTTATTTATTTTGAAATAAAAGTGAAATATTTCCTTAAAGTTTCGACTTAGTCCATTTCGGACATGCCAATGCTCTTCGTCAGGCTAAATCACTCGGGGATCAGCTTATCGTTGGAATTCACTCTGACAGTGAGTTTGCATACTTTTATTTGTGTTAAAGTTAATTCTTAACTTTACCATTACTTTATTAGAAGAAATCACTAAACATAAAGGACCACCAGTTTTTCATGAAAAAGAACGTTATCGGCTAATCAGAGCTATGAAATGGGTCGATGAAGTAAGTAAAACCTATTGTTTGAGTGTTTTTCCATAAAAACTCAAATTAGAGTTAGTGATATTTATTTATTTATTTAAACACATAAATATTGGTACAAAGGGGCACCAGATACATATGCGCCACACAAATGCCATTTGATTTGTGTGGGGGCTGAGGTACTGTCCAGGTGCCCAAACTGAAGCAGGTGGTTCCCTTAGGGGGCCACACCCCGAGCCTTTGACCTAAAGGTCTGATCCACAAGGCAGTGAAGCATCGTGAGGCCATGCATTCCCATGGTAGCCGGTGACCAACGATTGATTCTTACGCCATTTGTCCCCTAAGGATACTGGAGTCCATGTGCACCATTGGCTTGGAATGAGGGTTTTCCAACTCCCGTAGGTGGACTTTCCGTGTCCACCAACCCAGTTAAGGCGCCAGACATTCGCTTTTCGTTCTCTTAATTTCGTAAACAGCAGTAATGCCACGAGAAGGCAGTGAGTAGGACTTCCCTGACAGAGGCTATATAGGCGTGGCCATGTGAGAGCGTTTCGAGAGGGAGGGCGGACTCTCCCCACTCTCAGCCGTACCAAGGCATTTTGGGGCTGAACATAAATGTATAGGTCCAAAGTTATGAAACTTTGCGTTATCACAACCAAAAAATTGAGAAGCATATGAAAGAAAACAATATCAGCTGTAACGGAATGCAGAACATGAGAAATATGGTTTTGAAGAAATAAATGAGGTTCAGATATGGAAACTATTTGATGATATTAAGATCAAGACTTGGAATCAGTTATAAACTAAATTATTTTGCACCACTCTAACCGGTTATACACGTAATCTGTTTTCAACCATAGATTATTGATATTTCTTGGGTTCCAAATAAGAAGTCTGCGCCTAACAACATGGCTCAGCTCAACAGTCAGTCGTATTGATGTTGCGAAATCTAGATTTAATGTACATAGTAATGTCCTTGATCTTATAACCCGCTGTAGGTAATAAATGTGGATCTGTGGTTGTAGGTTTGGCATTTCGCAAATTTTATATTCCCCAGACTTTAATAATGAAATCAGAAAAAATAGCTTAATAGTTTTTGTTACCGAATGACACACGTTTAAATTCCACGAAAATCAGAAGTTTCCCTAGGGTCGGAGTCGAACTCGTGTTCTAGTTGTGAATGATATAAGCTCGAAAATCTTTCCCCCCACTATCGTAATCATAAAATAGGTAAAAATTACGTACTTTGATCGGTTAAATCTGTCCATTATAAACTATGAGAGCTTTGTTCACATTATCATTCGGTAAATAATTTGTGTTCATAAAAAATGTACTTAGTAATATTCTTTCTACTCATCGCAAAACTGTCTTAGTTATTAATGCTTGAAGTTTCTATCTATGTAGATAAAAAGTAAACGAATATTGTACATTATTCATAACAGTTTACGTGCAGATTCATATACTAAACTCCGATGACTAACAATACTATTTAGTTAAATAGGACGACATATAAAGTGTTTATTTGGATAATGGAGGCTGAGTGAATAAATTAATAAGCCAGCCAACAGTAAGCAGAGTAAAATCTAGGATAAATTAATAAACTAGAACTCATACCAGTCTGTGACTATGTCTTTTTGGACAATACTGTTGTACTGTTTTTCTGGCACATGATAGTACATTTAGCTACGCAAATCATTCATGTATTTTGGAGTGATAAACTTTCTACTGCTTTGACCTGAAATTATAAACAGCATTTTGAAATATTCATATAGTACCACGTATTTTTAATTTAATGGGATTAAATTGATTGTCACAACATGCATAAATTCATTAAGATATGCTTATATTTATTACTAGTGATTTTCTGGAATTCATGCTTAGAGGACGATAAAATAAACTACCAAGTGTTTTTTTCTTTGAACATATTTCATCAAAATATGTTACATATCATAAATGTCCACTTTATGAGCCCCTTCAGTTTTACATTGACCTTAAGCACTCAAAAATTGTCTAGTTTTAAACATGACAGTTCCAAGTACTTTTTGAGTACTTATTCAAATTTATTGTCTAGTTGATTTTAATGTAGCAAATTAAACTTGTTAATCAGCTGTCATTTAATCCTATTCCCTCATAGGTAGTAGAAGACGCACCATACTTTACCTATGTGAAAACGTTAGAAAAATATTCGTGTGATTTCTGTGTACATGGAGGTATGTCGTATTAGTTTAATGGGTTGTTTTAATTTTAAAAAATGAAAAAAATTATGCTCAAAAAGAAGTCATAATCAGTTGATAAAGGGACTGAAGAAACCGGACATTGTGGGCTCTACTAGTCCGTAGTACCGTAATTTTTTCTATCATGAAGCTTGTTCTGAATATAATCCAGAAATTTCATGCTTGTACATTGTTTGATCGTTGTCGGTGGTTTCTTCGGCGGTAAAGATTGTACAAGTTATTAGTGTCTTGAAATTTACATTCTTGTTTGTTTTCATTTTTCAATAAGGTTATTCACTTTATCAGGCCTAAGTAGGTGCAGTGAGTCTTAAAAAGTTGATCCTAAGATTGCTAATTTGAGCAAACAGTCTGTAATATAGGGCTGTAGTTCACTGGCTGAAACAATCGGTTAACTACCGAAGGATTTGATTTTTAATTAATGAGCTGCGAGTTCGACCTCTTTCCCACGATTTTCGAGCGACATAGGCGGGTAGTAAAATTAGTTTTTACTATAGAATTGTGATTTAAAACCAAATACATGAAATTTTACCTTATTGGTAAGTCTTACTAAACTTTTAAATTATGTAATCCAAAATTTATTCAACTAGAATAAATCTTTTTAATGTTTTTCTTAGAGAGAACAAATTTATCCACTTACATTGCTCTGCTGTAAATTCCAAATTTAGATAAACTATGGTCGAGAATATCAAAGTGAACGGATTTCTTATATTTGCTCACCCATTTTTAGCTACTAAACTCAAAGTGTATATCTGTCAATCATAACAAAGAGTTGTTTAGTATTTCTCGTTGGAAATTCCTCTGGTCAACATGACTGTCTAAACACGAGGTTTCTTTGGTTCTGTTGTTTGAGTCATTACTTATAAATAAATTGAAGAAGCATCAGTAACCAGAATAATGCCTAGTGAATCATTTCCCATTTTAAAAGAACATAGTGAAGAAAATTTTCTTTTCGACGAAATCATTTACTCATATTTATGGTTGTTTGGTAAATATCCAAGTCTATAGAAAGATAAAAACGATCTCATTATAAAGTAATTCGAGATTTCAAATATCAAAAGTGGGTTGCTTAATGGTCAAGAGATTGAATAGCCATGAAAATTTTGTAGAAGATAATAATAACTGATCACGGTTTAAAAAAGTATGGAATAATGATAAAAATAAAACAAAGTGAAAACATACGAGAGAAGTCAGTTAGGGTCAAGGAAGGATGAGAAGTTGGACGTATAGTTTTTGTAGGCAGAATTAAGGCTTGATTTGATTGATCATCAACGCCTCAACAGTTGATAAGTTTTTAATTCGCTAAGTTCTCTTTATTCTTATTCAATGACACTGCGTTATTTTAATTTTAAAGAATTGTCGAATTGTGCTTTAGAGATCATATTGCATTTGAGCTATTATATTTCTACTTAGTCTTGATTAGTCCACAACATTCATGAAACTTTCTAAGGAATTTTTGGTGTATTATGGAAATATTAAAGCTCAGTATTATCAATTATGAAACTATTTATTGTTAACCATAAATACATCAATGTTATTATCTACAGACAAAATTAATATTGTTTTTCTCTGAAATTTCATTGAATTGATTAAAAAAGATCCTTTTGTTTCATTTATGGTCATAATCAAATAATTAACCAAATAAATCTCACTTTTCTAGACTCCTTTCACTATGACTAAACTTGGCCTTCATGCGACCTTTTTTCATCTAAACAATAATCTATGAATAATTTCATCGCTTTATCAATATAAGTGTTACATATTTTTCATTACTGTTTGGTATATATTTTTTCTCCACTTACTAGTGCTTTATTTTCTGGTTCTGTGTTAATTGATATAATCCGTTTTGAAAGTATGTAGTGTATTAAAGACGAAGTTGTACCCTTAACTGTAGCGTCACATACGACTACACAACCATTATAGGAAAGTGCTCGGATAGGACATTTACAGATAAAGTGAACCTTATACAGACTGTTATTAGATATTTAAAGTTTTTCAGTCACAAATATATGAACTGGCACTAATGTCCACTTGCCCAAGCTGACGCATTTCGCATCAGTGTGACAAAAGGAAAGGAAAAAGAATGGAAATAATGGTAGCAACACTGATATTAACGTTTAGATGTAGAGGATATAGTTAGAGAAAACTAATGGGATTTGAAAATAAAAAATACAGAATGATACTAAGCACAAGATATAGAGGAAGACAGAAAATGAATATATCTGTATCATTATCACTGGCTTCGAACCATATAGCCTAAGGTCTCCAACCACATGTTACAACTAACTCTTAGATCCTATCTAGGAAGTTCGCTCTTCCCAATACCGCTTGGTCCATTCCCAGGGGAAACATACCCACTGCATGTGTTGTTTACAGAATTGAAAGGACTAAAAGAGAATGTCCAGCGCTTCGACCGGATTGGTAGGTACGGAGCATTCATCTAGGGGATTTGGAAAATCCTGATCCCGAATCAATGGTGCACATGAGCCTCATGATCCTGAGGGAGAAAATGGCGTATAGACCTGTCCTTGGTCACCAGCTACCATGGGACCGCATCTCTTAACGTTGTCACACTGCTTTGTGGATTGGATCTCTCTGCCAAAGCTTGGGGAGTGACCCTCTAAGTAAACCACTTGTTTTGGTTTTGGGCACCTAGTTAGTATCCTAGCCCACACACAAATTAAATGATTTCCGTGACACATATGTATCTTGGTGCCTCCTTGTACCAATGTTTATGTGTTCAAATAAGAAAAAATGGACCATAAATAAAGAGACTTCATGTATTCCTTGGCAACATTTGCTGCGCACACTCGATCTTGATTTCCTATATTTTTACAGTTAAAAAATTCTGACTCACATCTACCTGTTCTTTGTAACTAGTGTATTATGTCATCACTTCTAATGATTTTGAGTGGATTAATTTTTAACTTTGCTTGCCTCCAAAGTTTATGTTTAATCTGTATAATTGTAGATGATTTGGTGGTATCCAACGATGGATCGGATCCCTATGCAGAAGTTAAAACAAGTAATCGATACAAGTGAGACTTATTACTGAAAGATTGTGCTACTCATTTTCTTAAAAAATTTTGTTATATGAAGAGTGCAGAACCGTTTACTCGATTTTCAGACACATCTAGTAGAAAGGATGATAACACTACCCAACTGCTCAAAGTGAAGCATATTAAAAAGATTCAAACCTCCCATCTTACCGTTAAAAGTCTAACACTCGTAGCTTAAGTCGTAACATCGTTCCTGTGAAAGTTCTGGACACCATCCAAATTGTCATCCATAGGGAATGATGCTCGAATTTGTAGTTATCATCACTATGTGATTGTAGAGGACAAATCAAGCATCGTATTTCTTATGTGATGCAAATATGATTTAAGTATCGATCTCTTCTGGTTGAGTATACACTATTTTCAAGTTACTAGTGAGATAATAGATTTTATTGTCATCCCTTGTATACTTGACCATAGTATTTGGATATTGTATGCAAATAAGAAAAAAGCTTCAAAGCACATGACATTTACGTTAAACTGTTGGTAGAATTCACAGAAAGTGGAGCGTTGTAATATAATTCGTTTTTTGGTTATGAACAATGTTAATTCAAAACACTATAATCGTCACATCTCTAATATAACCACACTGTCTTGAGTAAATTTTATTCTGTATAATTCTATTTGAACCAACGTTTTCTTTCTCAGTATCATCATAAATGGTGATTTATATACTTTATTTCATTTTGTTATAATTAGAGAAGTTAAACGAACTGAGGGTATATCTACTACAGCTTTAGTTTCAAGGTTAGTAATTGTCTTATGTTTTTACGTACATTTGTGTAAATCATTATTTGAATGTTAAATAACAATGCGATTCCATGTATTCATAGGATTCGTTTGCACATCGACGTGATTCGCGTGTTTGTGTTCAAGATAAATGAATGCTTTATATCGTTTAACTTTGTAACAGTGTTGAAGGATATTTTTATATTTTAAAAGGGATAAATTCACATAATTTCAAAATGGCTCATTTTTTAATGAATTAGTAAATAAAGTGATAAGACTGAGTTCCTAAATCGCAAACTAACATCAAGTGTTTTAGTACTGAATAATACTGTTTTGAATGTGTTACTGGTGCAAATGCTCAGCTGAAATGATTCAACGTAAGAAGAGAGAAGGAAAATACTGATCAAAACTATGTCCGAATTCATTAGTATTTATAGTTTACATTAATAGTCAGATTTCGAATAAATACAACTGAGTAACAATTAACACTTATTAGTTAGGAAACCACTGTATAAACGTGATTTACATAGATCATAACATTCAGAATTCTACAACCGACATGTAAAACTGACTGGCTGATTGAGTCATCTATTTACTCTTTTCTGAGAAGCTCTAAAATCATGGAATATAGTAAAGCACTGAGCAGCTATTTCTTGCGTAGGTTGTAACTCGGAAATCAAAGTTATTTCTGAGAAGCTTGAACTAGATTACCATGTGAACCATTATTTAATTCCAATCATTTAACTCAATTTATGTTCATTATTCCTGTTTTTCTACGCAAATATCTGTGCTTATATCATCAGTTTCTTTTAATTTTATCCACATATATCTGTTTATTATTATTATTGTTATTATTATTACTATTATTACTATGCATACAGAATGTTAAAACGTATACAACAATTGCAAGATCAAGGTACCTATGCATCGCAGTTCAGTTCAAGTACAGAGTATTCGATTCGCCGAACACAATCGTTAGATTCTGTATTAAAAAGTAAAGATAAATTTATGCATCCTTGTAAGGTAAATGAGTGTCTTATAAGTTTCTCTTGATTATTATGGGATTTTAATACTCCTACGTTTACAAACTGTTTTCAGCCATAGCTAAAAATAGAAAATAAATTACTGTAACTCAATAATTAAGTAAAAGGCTTCAAGTTAAAGGGGGTACTGTGGTGTGTGCTACTTATGTCGACAGACGTAGGTAGTATGTAACACCAGTCAAAAATTGAATGGCTGGCAGCAGAAGGCCAAGAAAATCGAGTTGAAGAGAAAAGAAGAGAAAATAGAAAGGAATTATGAACTGGAGAAAGCATACAGAGTGTGAAGGACAAATGATGGACATTTCCAAATGAAGTATTTAGTGTATGGTTCTCATATTTTACCAAGATATTCTGTAATTTTGTATTAAGATACATTGGTTGTCCCCACATTTGTTCTCGTTCATTACGGTACCACTCTAGTTAATGCTGGAGCTAACGATTTATGAATGGAAGGAGTCATGGTAATTCTTTCAAAAATTTTCTACCTCTGGTATTCAAATTATTTCTGAAGCCAAAGTTAACACAACAGTTGAATTATTTGTAAGATGGCCTTTACCCGAAAATGAGAAAACTATGGAAATCAATTAAGCTCAAAGTCAATTTTACTTTAGCTAAGGCACAGTAGCAGTGATGCAGATCTAATCAATATATTATTGTGAATAATTGTTAATTACTGTTCTGTTGTCGTATGCAACCTTTTAGAATAGACTTAAACAAACTATAATATTTTCAATTCGACCCTCTTAAGGACTTAGTGTAATATGCAAAAGGATCACATAATGCCCTGGTACGGCCGAAAGTGGGGAGGGCCCGCCCTCTCTCTCGAAATGCTCTCACATGACCACGCGTATACAGCCTCTGCCAGGAAGTCCTACTCACTGCCTTCTCGTGGCGGGGGTGTTGTACACGAAATTGAGAGGACGAAAAGCGAATGTCCAGCGCTTTAACTGGGTTGGTGAACACGGAAAATTCACACAGGAGAGTTGGAAAACCCAGATTCCAAACCAATGGTGCACATGGGCTGGTTCCAGTATCCTGATGGAACAAATGGCGTATGAATCAATCGTTGGTCACCGGCTACCATGGGACTGCATCTCCTTACGATGCTCCACTGCCTTGTGGATTAGACCTTCAGGTCAAAGGCTCGGGGTGTGGCCCCCTAAGGGAACCACCTGTTTCGGTCTGGGCACCCGGGCAGTATCATAGCCCTCACACAAATAAATGAAATGACAGTTTTTTATGTGGCGCATATATATCTGGTGCCCCTTTGTACCAATATTTATGTGTTCAAATGAAATAAATAAATAAAGTTAAAAGTATGATTTGGTAATAAAGTGGCTGGCATAGTAGTAAATAATAAACAGTATGATAGGAAATAGGTCAAAGCTTGTAAAAATAAACTTACTAAAATAATAATAATAATAATAAACTACTTAATACGAAATTTGTCTTAATAATCATCTTAAATATATAGATATTAACAAATAGATACGAATTGAATATAGAAAAACAAATAAAAAAAATGGTGTCTAAAATCACTAAACTTCATTATTATTAGGAATTTAAACTTTCCTATTAATTAAAAAACAAAACAATTTTTTCGACTGACTTTTCGCCGCTTAATTCTAATAGCCATCAGATCAGTAAAATTGTTTATTAAATCTCATCCGGCCATGGACTTGAAAGTGATGTTACAAATCTGTTTTAACTAAGTAGGCTAATGTTGTTGGCTCGAACCCCCAGATGCAGGTAGCGACGTCGAACCTCATTAACAAGACTCGATGATACACAATAAATTACACAGAAGGTATAGCATGTGTTGAAGGAATTTGAGAAACCTTCTTGTTGTTTTGATCGTATTTTCTCATTCTAGCGTATGTAGCGATTTTTCCGCCATCTCGGGAATTTTATTCTTGTCAATCTCCTTTTACTTCTCAGGCACCCCTCCTACGTTGTTTACAACGCGCTGATCCATGTTTTTGAAATTTTTGGAAATTTGTAAAACCGGATTTGTTGATTATTGAGAATTAATATGAGGGGACTTTGTCATAAAGAAAACTTTGCGTCTCAGTTAATAACATATGTTTAGTAATCTAAGCATTAATTTGTTCACATAACTTAATCAACTCAGTAGTAGGTTGTAACTTCTGGTTTGAACACTGAATGTCATATGAATGTTTTTTTTGAATTGTCGGCTACTGTTGGGTAAGGGTAAAAGCAAAATCCAGGTTTACTATTTCCCACTGATCATTTTTAAATAATGTAACTGGTCTACCAATCGAAGGTTTATGCATTCGACTTCTATTTTTTGCCGATTGTTTTAGGGCTAGTGGTACTACTACCGAGTTACCTAAACTGAAGCAGATAAAGTGTGGTTCGAAGTTGCAACTCGATAGTTAGGGACTGAGTGTTTTAATCACTAAGGTTTCGCTTGATATTCAAAATTGTATAGTACAAAGAAATACTTGAAATTATCGATACACGTTTTTCCTTTAAAATTATCTTCTTTATTTTTCATTGTTTTATTTTGATTTCTAGACAAATGAAACATTATCACCCATATATCCCGGTCTAAATTCAAATTGTTCTAAAGATAGTGACGTGGCAGATTCGATTAATGTTTCAATTTGGTCTACTGGTGGCATGACGTATATGCCGAATATTTTACGTATAAGTCAATTTTGTTCTGGACAATTTCGTGAACCTAATAGTAATGACATTGTGGTATATGTACCGGGTACATTTGACCTATTCCGTATCCTTTACGTGTAATTGATATAATGGTGGAATTTAAATACTTCCTGTTTGCAATACTACGCTACTATGATACGATAATACGACTGGGTACCGAGATTATCCTACCACTTGCCTGGACACTCGATCGATGCGCTTTATCCAGACGGGATCACATTACTACAGATGCACGATTCACGATCAAATATAGAGAACTAGAGTTTATACTAGACAATACTTTATTCATCACAACTGCAAAACAGTTTACACTTAGCAAGTCCAGAGTAGAAGTTAGTAATAGGGGGGAAATCACATTAATTAGCGTCTGTTAGTCAACACTCAATTGCCAATCACACCTTACTTTTGATATCACTCATTAGCAACATAATTTTCCGAAGTATTATGTAATCGGACCAGGTGTTTTCAGATTCTCTCGTTTTTTAAATAGTGGCTGAATCTGCTGCGAAAAGGAGTTGGCTCCTGGGATTAAATTTTTTAGCATTAGTTCCTTAATTACAGTGATAACTTATTATGTAATGAGCAAAACTGGGTTACCAGTTAAGTAATACGGCTATCTTAGAAGCCCCCTTTCTTAGTAAATGTCAGTGACAAAACGAATCTTATATACTGTCAAAAGTATTGTAATGCTACTTAGTTCTACGACATAATTTTACAATAGAAAGGGAAATGTCTAAAAACGTTGTTTACTTCAGTGAATAAGTGACTGTTAAAACTTCACCACAAGTGTAGAACATTGTCTTCTTGCTAACATTACGTATGAACCAAGCGGGTTAACTCCATATTCTTTTACTGCTTTGATATATCCCTTTTAAAAGTAGAAAAAATGTGTAATTTTTCAATTTTGAGTTTCAAAGGGCAGTATTCAGCGATTTAAAAAAGAAGTTTCAGAGGTACAGATTTCCTGAATGTAAACGTAGAATCTGCAGGTGCTAAAATGTTGCTCATGAAATAAACTCAATAACGACTGTTCTTATTTGTCGTCTCAGTCTGTTGCATTGTACAACAATTTTTTTTAATTATTCACTCATAGTTGAAAATGAATGAAATTAACAATTGTAGTCAAATACCATATTTCTTTAACTACCATACCTTTTAATGTATAACTATAATGTGAAAAATAGACATTGGTCATTTATCATTCCTTGAGCAATGCTTAAAACTTGGGAATTATCTGTTGGTTGGATTATACTCGGATAAAGTGAGTACCGACTTAGTCACTTAAACAATTTTTCAGTCATAGAAATATTAACTGGTATCATGTGTATTTGACTTAGTTATACAATTGGTTGGCCTCAACTCACCAAGTGAGTAAATGGAACTCTACAACTTAATACACAATAGTATCCAAGGCTATGACCCCATATGATGTATGAATTTGGTACAATATCCTGTTTCACAAACCAAGATGAGTAGAGCGTGATGTAAACATCGTATCGTTTATTGAAACATCGTTACTGAAACCTGTAATCCACCACTCCTGATAAGCTCAGTAATAACACCGATTGTAATATTGACTAATAAGTGTTCTATTCTTTTAAGACAGTTGAGTCTCTTTTAAATTGCATATACAGACTGTTAATGAATACTGTGGTGTACGCTACTTATGTTGACAGATATAAGTAGTATGTAGCAAAATCGGAAGTGGAATGCCAGTCAGCAGAAAATTAAGATTGAATTGAAGAGAACAGAAAGGGAAACAGAGAGGAATAGGAATAAAAACCGAATTTGAGGAATGAATAAGTATGTAAAGGGCAACTAAAGAAGGATGTGTAAATAATGTATTTATTGTATGATTTCCATATTTTAAGAAGACACTGTAATTTCACATTAATTAATGAATTGATTTTCCCCACAAAGTACTCGTTTACTACAATATCAAGGAATATCAAAACCATCTATAGTTTTCTGATAGTCATCTTTAATCTTTTAAACACAAAATTATCATAAATAATTAGTGGAGCATGAGAATGAAGGTCACAAAACAACCTATAATTCTTCACGTCTACTCACCATCTTATCAATCACACCATATCTTTAATGGGTCAACTTACTTTTTAATGTTACCATAATTGGTATTTTCACTGGTTAAACTGATCAGTGTTATTATTTTCATCATTTCCAGTGTTTAGAAGTCACTGTTTATAATTAGTCCATTCGTTTTCTCTATTATAAACTTTGTTTTTAATGAAAGTAATGCTTAAATTCTAAGCAAACCAAGAATAACAAATTTTGCAGAAAAAATTGGATGTATTTGTATACTCATTCGCATTAGTTCCAACACAGTCTGGCATCACAAAGTGTAATGTTGTTTGAAACGAAGGTTTAAAATGTTTACTTGAAACGAAAATGGAAATTCTATTAAATCAAAGGGTAAAATAACCCATTTTGTCATTAAATAAAAATTAAAAGGATTCAGCGAAGAAAATTTTCTTTTCGACGAAATAACCGTACTAACTTTAAAACGAAGAAAATATAAAAAATACTAGGCTTAATCTTCAATATGCTTTAAAGTACTAATAATTAGTTATGAAACATCCGAAAATATCATGGTCAGTCAGCCCCCTTAGAAAATTTCAGAAATTAACGTCTCCATGTTTTATCATAAAATAATTGTCGAAACTCACGAGTTATTAATTTTAGCATCTTTTTACATGCTTTAAGGAGATCAAAGTCTTGCGTAACCACATTATTATAAATGTTGATAGTTGAGATCATGAATCAATTGAAGCCAGACTACCATGGAAAACCTGGAAGCACTGAACGGCTGTTTCATCCTATTATGGGACTCGTCAGCAGTGCGCATCTACGATCCCACCTCGCGAGATTCGAACCCAGGACCTATCAGTTTCGCGCGCGAGCGCTCAACATCTGGACCACTAAACCGGCATCCAACCGTGTTCATTTCCATCTTCAACCGATCCACGAAATTCACCGACACATCCACCAATGTCTTCAGTGAGTTACTCTCTCACAACACACCTGCTTCAACTCCACTGGTCACTGCTTCTCACTAGAACTCCAGGAAATACCTCTTGAAGCCAGTCACTAGTGAGCGTATGTTGAATAATATGAGAATGGGTTTTGTGGATATTATAGTAATTTTATAGTAATTAATCAATTAATTTATTTATTAATATTATTATTACCATTATCATCTATTTTCGCATCTACGCCACTATCAAGATGGTACGGTACATAAAGAATAGGATGATTCATATTAAACCGAGTTCATATATGCGAGTGGTCACTCATCTTATTTTTAATTGAATATTACCTTTCATCAATGTATTAGTTCGTTATTGTATTACTTTGCAGACATCGTCATTTGAAAGCGGACGAATGGGCTCAATCCTCACACTTCAAGAACGACTGTTATCTGTACTGGCCTGTCGAGTAAGTTATGTCTTTTTTCTCAAGTCTTTCCAGTTTACTAACTGATCATCACTGTAATCTCCATTTTAACCGAATCGAGATAAAGGGTGTTGTCATTTACGAAAATTTATGTATAGAAATTTCAAAAGTACTTCAAATTGATGTCTAATAAATCACGGGCGTACTTTACCATTGGAATGACTTAAGAGAATTAATATAAGTTAAAAACCTACCCAGTTCAAATTGATAACTACCACTTATAATACGGGATTTCTAGAATAATTCTTGGAATATTTTGGTTCATTCAAGTTTGGTTGTCCTTTTTATTCAACACTGAAATATAATTGGTTTGTGAAATTAATTTTTTAACACGTTTTCAGTATATTGATTTGAGCTTCTATGGTAGTGTAGCACCAACTCCGGATACAAATGAGACTGCAATGAATACCAAGTCTCAATAACAAGTCCTTATGCAACCATAGACGTTTCTATCATCCAGTTTTATCTGGTAATTGGCAGTTCATGTTACATTCTCTACTGCATAAGGAGCAAACTTCTTGTTATTTTTATATAATTCAGGGATATTTATTTAGAGAGTGAAATTTCATTAAAATAAACTCGCATGTAAATTGTTTACTCAAATCGTCACTTTCTTGATTAAAGTATTCAACTTCCAAAGATTATGTACCGGTAGAATTCTATACCTAATTGTTAAGTCGTTACATTATAAGTTATTGATTGACCCATATACTGGATACTGTTGACAATATAATTAATTTATAGCTTCACCGGAGCGAGCATTATAGTTAGAGACAGTCCACCCAATAAACTGTGGTATATTAATTAGAACTTCTATGAATTGACCTACACAACTCTTCTCTCTTCCTAAGTTCACATAGCCGTAGGTTTACAGTTCGGCTTTCGGGACTTTTTTATCCAGTTATTGGGAAGGTAACCAACTTATTCCAGATTTGGATCTATCTTGTTCAGGTTCGTGTATGAGCGCACCTATGGAGTGCCAAATGAGGACAATACGACCATCCAGCACTAATAAGAGTTATCTTCAATTTGTACTAAATTTCCTAAAAAGCAACTCTGTAAATACTACTTATTACTATCAATTTTCCTGAACTAGGCCAATGGTTTGGAAAATTCGTTTTACAGTGTTGCCCCAAAATGAAAATTTTTATAACTGTTCATATGCAAAGCTAAGAGGTAATCGACCTTATAGATTAACATAACTATTCTTCAAATATAAAAACAATGAAGTTAAGAAAAAATTGATTTCAACTTCTAACAAAATAAGCCTTTTAAAAAAAATCTATTTGCAAAGTATTCTATCATGATTACATAATTACTTATTACTTTTCCGGTTTAAAATCAATCGAATGTTATTTTATGGCTGGATTGTTGAAATAAATTATCATAGTTGAAAGCGTGAGTCAATTGATACTAGACCACCATGGAAAACCAGGAAGCACTAAACAGCCGTTTCGTCCTATTATGGGACTCCTCAGCAGTGCGCATCCACGACCTCACCTTGCGAGATTCGAACCTAGGACCTACCAGTCTCGCGCCAGAGCACTTAACCTCTAGACCACTGAGCCAACATCCATGGTGTTAATGTCAAACTTCAACAAATCTACGAAGTTGAGCAACCGTTTGCTCTGGCGCGACACTGGTAGGTCTTGGGTTTGAATCTCGCGAGGCGAGGTCGTGGATGCGCACTGCTGAGGAGTCCCATAATAGGACGAAACGGCCATCCAGTGCTTCCAGGTTTTCCATGGTAGTCTAACTTCAATTGACTCACGCTTTCAACTATGCAAATACTAAATCTGTACAAAAAACCCCTTCTGAAATAAATTAGTCAAAATTGTGAATATGATTTTATTTTTAAAGAAAAATGTTATAAACGTAGTTATGCCTTCGCTATTTGTTATAAACGTAAAGGAGAGGATGCTGGTTATAACAGTAGGGGTTCTTGTTATAACAGTCCTTTTACTTCTTACACGTATGTGGGACGTTAATTTATCTTAGACGAATATCTACACTAGATTCCCACCCAGTGTCTATTCTACAGGACTTCAACAGAACTCAGATCAAGAACACGAGATTAGCCTGACTATAACGTCAATATATTTCCACACGAAAATCCGACACAAAGAACAGTCAATCAATAAATGTCCATCAACAAGAAACAGTCAATACATAATAAGGATAGGGGAATATATATAACACATATAACACCTGTCATCCCCTCTAATGTCTGACTCATCGAGACAACCAATCATTATCATTCTCGCCCACACATCAAAAAAGATCAGCAATCAAGTAACAAGAAATTTTTAAAAACTCATTTTCAACGTACAATTTTGCATACTTGATTTTGAGCCATTCTTTTCATGCAAAAATTAATGATAATACGTTCATTCTCAGAATCCTCAAACCGAATCAAAACGGAGTTTGAACATTTGGAAGTCAGTAACTTTAAACGTTAACTCATCTCTGTTAATAAGCCTAAATCTAAGTTTCTATAATTTTCTAACAGTGAATACAATAAAATGTAGCGTCATGTGCAGTAGTCTCAATAATTTTATCATGATATCAAATATTGTTTGTTTATTATTTTCTTTGTGGTAAAATTTTATGAATTAATATACTTTGGTTAGTTTAGTTATTAGTAATACCCTCTAATTAATAACTATGTGAATGTTGTTTTATTCTCATTATGAACAGTACGTGAGCAATGTAATCATTGATGCACCATATGTAATACCTCCCAGTCTTTTGGATCATTTCAATGTAAGTTGTTTCTCATTACTATTGATTACGGTTTTATTTCAGTCTTGATGTCAAATGATTGAAGGTAATCAGTAAGAAGTAATGTATCCCCTGATTTACGCGCTAGTTCTCACTCATCAATAACAGGTATGAGCAATTTTGATGGGACTGATGTCCTCCCTTGGAATCTAAATTCGCGTCACCTAGTGCCACAGTCAGAGATATCAAGACCGACCCTTAAGCCACCAATAATATTTTGGGAATGGCTCTGAAGGAAGCACATGGTGGTGGGTTGGATCCAATTGTTACTTTGATGAGGACTTTTCGACCTTGAATGTACGGATGGGATTGTCTTGATATACGTTATGAAACAAGCTATCTGAGTGCCACTTAATTAGTTGTTATCTAGAGTCAGTCATTATGGAATTTACTCTGCACTCAGATGTAAAATATTTCTGCAAGACTGGTAGAAGTTGCGTACACCTACTTTCTGTGGTTGTCCGCTGTAGTAGTAGAAAAGTTCATATATCTAGGTGTTTGTGTAAGTACTGGTGTCGGCGTGTTAGATCAAGTCAACCTACGTCTACTGAAGGCCAGAGCGATTTATATCAATCTGTCCCATCTTTGGAGCCATCATAATGCTAGACTGTCTATTGAAGGTTGGGTTTACAATGCATCCGCAAAAACAGTTCTGCTTTACCTTTATGAAACCTCCCCCAAGTTTAGAAGCCTCGGCAACTCTGTTCGATCATCTTCGTCTCGTGAGGATTTCTGAAACCCAATAGCGACACCATGTTAGCAATACTGAGGTTCAACAACATATTTTCGGGAGCAGTGACGATAACCCAATCGGTTTCACCTTCTGTAAACACCAGCTTCCGTTACTTGAAAATACTTAAGTTTGTCATCTTATCTTCTACAACGTACATCATTTGCCGACAATGGTACTAAGCTGGAAAAGCGGATAGGTAGTTAATTCATAATATGACTCCGTGGCATGGAAAAATGTTGTATAGAACCATCTTCTGTCGCTCCATCATAACTCCCTGAAGTAGATCACATAGCTTGTGCAACATGGTGTTGAAATCATATGTGACAATGCCAAGGTTTGACATGATAGTTTCGAGTAAATTGAGCACTAACTGGAATGTTGATAATAAAGTAATTATTTATTCCTGATATCCCAATGAGTAGAAATTTGAATTTTGGACGTTTCGCAACTTCAGACGGTAAGTAAATAAATAACTGAACTTACATAAGTCTAGATAGTAAAAAAGAACAAAGAATATTTAGTTCAATCAAAATCAAAATAGTTTTGATTATGTCAGTGACTTAATAATCTACAAATTAAACCGGAAATAACAGTACATACTACATTCATAAACCATTAAATCGATATTAAAAATATCAAAATAATCCAGAAACGCCTTTCCAGATATGAAGAGAGACGGGTAACCGAAGCGTCTCATATAGTGCTAAATCCCTTCCTCAACAAGAAGGAAATTCTGACTATTCATTCAACTTCAACCATCTATACAAACTACACTTAATTCTCTTCATTTCTCACACAATTAACACACACCGATTTCGACTCTACTGCTTCATATAACAAATTTCACATTTTTCAAACACACAAGCATATACATAGATAAACATAGGTGATGTCTCACACATAATCAATGTCAAACGTTGACATATTTATTTACTCTGAAAAAGTGGCTTACACTAAGGTACATAACGTTAGAAATTTAAATTTCTACTCAGTGGTATATCACAGATACATCTCTGTTCGTGCACATATCCAACCATCATTGACTACGTCGTGCAATGCTCCTGGGGACATGAGAAGGAAATATATAGGAGCGCATCTGTTCATGAAGTCAATGACCAGTGATCACAGCCCTCTTGTTTGGGTCTACGCGATAATCATGATCAGCGGCAAAAGATCTTAGTTGAAGTGGCTTGAAATCGGTCCTAGCAGCGCGAATTTATTGGATCATCATGTTTCCATAGATCTCTTGTTTGTACAAAGTGCCTACAACCCATCACAGTGTTAAATACTACAGAATTCAGTTAATGAACGTGGACGAAAATCAAGGTTACTCGACACTCAATGAGTCAACAATTTTATCCTTCTCAATAATTATGCTAGTTCTGTAAGCTTGATCTCGACACGATATCTTATAACAGATACCCCATATTTCCAATTTCAGTTAATTCATAAGTGATGTAGCATAGTGGCCATCTAATGCCATATCTCACGACATATCTTGTTGAGTCATTCTTTAAATGATGTTGGTGCGTGACGAAAACTAACTTCTAATGAACTTATTTCCATAAATCCCTATCATAATTTTGTTTCAGATGATCTAAATTGAATTCTCATGTTTTTATTTTATTTTCTAGGTAAATTATGTTGCAATAGGTTGGGATAAAAATCTTACACCAACATTAGAGGGCTTAGACCCGATGATGGTAAGAGTTGTATGTGAACTGGAATGTCAGTGTTTTACAATTGATTTTTCTGATGTACAGTTATTTTAGTATTTGATTCTGTTTATTACATTCATCTGGAGTCGTTTTGTAATTGATACTAACTTATCTGCAAGTTTGTAAACCATCCTGTTGATTTGATCACATAAACAAGAGTCACAATGATTCAGTAGATATTGTCTAAGAAAATTAAAATTCATGCATCTGTGTAACGGTTTAAAGTTCTGTTATCCATTCACTTATGTATTTCCTACTTTGATTGATTCAAAACACGTTTGTTTAACTGATAAGAATGTTGAGATGGCTTTCGAGAACTACGACTGAGCCTTTAGAGGCCTTAAAGGAGCCGAAGAGTTTCCATCCAATTAGAACGTGATGGAGTTTTCCAGAATGTCGACATGGCATGATACTGTTGGACAGTAGCACAACATGCCTCTTTGCGGATTGGCTGAATTATAATGTTGATATAACAAACGCTAATATCTATAAATACCCATGATTTTTTGTACATTTTGATTCTTACCCAACAAACACTTCCCTAGCCTTCTTCTGTTTTTTTGATTTGCGACTGTTAGGTTCTATACGTTCGAGTGCCGTTAGTTGTATATCGTATTCTACTTTAATCTAGTAGCTAAGATAACAATAAACAGTATATTCACCTTCATGTTCCATTGATCACTCTCCAGTTCATAGTTTCTTCGTTTACACAATCTATAAAGAATATCAAATTCAACTTGTTTTTTAAACAAACATATTTTGTTGAAAATAAGATCAAGACTATTCAACGATAAGAAAATATTTTCTTTTCTACCTTTTTCATTTTCTGATAATATGAAATCAACTTAATAGTTACTTAAATAAACTATGGACTCATGATGGGTTAGATTAATTGAAATTTGATTATAATTAGTAAGATTATTATTAGTAGTATATAAAATTTTTTATCATATAACCTACCAGTTATTCTTATAATTCTTTTGTCGTTTTGCACGATTATATTCTGGCAACCTATGTAAATATACTATTGTATTTGAGACATACCCACACACACACACACACACGTACCCATTCATCATATATATACATTCTTACAAAATAAATATGTATATTCCATATTATTAACTAGTTCAATATGGTTGTATTGTGCCATTATATAATTCAAAACTATTTGTTTATTTGAGTTCGTTAGTCTAAAAATAATGTAAATACTTTCATAGTTAAAATCATAAGTCAATTGAAACTAGACCAGCATAGAAAACCTGGAAGCACTGGACGACCGTTTCGCCCTATTATGGGACTCCTTAGCAGTGCGCATCCACAATCCCACCTCGCGAGATTCTAACCCAAGACCTACCAGTCTCGCGCCAGAGCACTTAACCGATTACAATATAAATACAGTGGAGGAATATGATAAAGTTAATTTAAATAATTTTATTAATATAGTTATTGGTTTTATATTGTTTTTTGAATATACCATATGCCTAATTTATTCTGAATGTTCAATCTTCATTTAATGTCTGTTTATTATTAGATTATTATTATTTTTAAACATTTTATTATTGTTTACACAATAGAAATTTAACTGTTTATATAGTGTACTTTTAACTCTCCGTTTATTTACTTCACCATTCATTTGGATTATATTCAAAGAAATAAGTAGTACTTAATAAGTAGTACTTCTTAAACTGTTGCTTAGACTATTTACTTGAATGTCTGTTCATTAAGTCTCTTCTAACATATAGTATTGAATGAAGATAGAATTTTTTATTAACAATCAAATGTTTATATTATAATTATTAAATGAATTGAAATTTCGTATTATACCTTAATATTTGTGTATAGACATATTCACTTATTATTACGGTGAAAGCTTTTTGTTCATTATGTACAAGGCTATATACTTTAGTAAATAATAATACGAACTAATATTAATTTAAAACGTGTTATCCAATGTCTTCACTTTTCTCAATCATATTACAAATAATGAGTTATTTTTCACTTTTTATAGTAAATTTATCATTTTACTAATGTATTTAATTCTGTTTTTTAATTCTTCTTTTCTCGAAGGTTTGTAAAGAACGAGGTATTCTTCGTAGAATCGATAGTGGATGTAATGTTACAACTTCACTTGTTATATCCCGTATTATGAAAAATAGGCAAGTGATATTATTTCATAACTGTATAGTTTTTACTAACTTATTTGAATGTAAGTTTCATCCAAAATCTAAATAACCTGAAAAGATATTTAGAAGTGTTTGAGCGTGACAAGCTCCCTTCACTTATCTCGAAAGTCTCACTAGTCCTGATAGGCTGGCAGCTAGAGAAATTTCATCACGAATTCAGAACACTGTACTGGCTTTCACCAAATTCCGTCACTTGTGACGAAGGCGAAATATTCGTCTGACCATCAAAGAACGACTTTACTGAGCAACATTTCACTTTATTCTACTTCATAGGTGTGAGAAATGGCCATTAGGATATTCGTTACTTACTTACTTACTTTACTTTCGCCTGTTACTCCCAATGGAGCATAGGCCGCCGACCAGCTTTCTCCAACCCACTCTGTCCTGGGCCTTCTTTTCTAGTTCTTTCCAGTTCTTGTTCATTCTTCTCATGTCTGTCTCTATTTCTCGGCGTAATGTGTTCTTTGGTCTTCCTCTTCTCCTTCGACCTTCAGGATTACATGTGAGGGCTTGTCTTGTGACGCAATTGGGTGATTTCCTCAAAGTGTGCCCAATCCACTTCCAGCTCTTCTTCCTGATTTCTTCCTCCGCTGGAATCTGGTTTGTTCTCTCCCACAGTAACTTGTTGCTGATAGTGTCTGGCCATCGGATCCGAAGTATCTTGCGTAGACAGCTGTTAATAAACACTTGTATCTTCTGGATAATGGCTTTCGTAGTTCTCCACGTCTCTGCCCCATACAGAAGAACTGTCTTGACATTTGTATTGAAAATTCTAACCTTGGTGTTGGTTGACAATTGTTTTGAGCTCCAGATGTTTTTCAGCTGTAGGTATGCTGCTCTTGCTTTGCCGATCCACGCCCTCACATCTGCATCTGATCCACCGTGTTCATCAATGATGCTGCCCAGATATGTAAAGATTTCCACATCCTCCAAAGCTTCTCCATCAAGTGTAATTGGATTGGTGCATATTGTATTGTATCGGAGAGTCTTGCTTTTCCCTTTGTTTATATTGAGACCTACTGTTGCTGAGGCTGCTGCTACACTGGTCGTTTTCTCCTGCATTTGTTGTTGCGTTTGTGATAGAAGAGCCAGATCATCCGCGAAGTCTAAATCGTCAAGCTGCATCCTGCCTGTCCACTGTATCCCGTGCATTCCTCCAGATGTTGACGTCTTCATAATCCAGTCGATCACCAGTAGAAAGAGAAAGGGTGAGAGTAGGCAACCTTGCCTAACACCGGTCTTTACCTCGAACGAGTCGGTGAGTTGTCCTCCGTGGAGGATTTGGCAGTTTAGTCCATCATAGGAGTTCCGTATGATATTTACTATCTTCTCAGGCACACCGTAGTGTCGAAGAAGCTTCCACAGTGTCGTCCTGTCCACGCTATCAAATGCCTTCTCGTAGTCGATGAAGTTGATGTACAGTGATGAATTCCATTCGATTGATTGTTCCACAATGATACGTAGAGTTGCGATTTGATCTGTGCACGATCTATCCTTACGAAATCCAGCTTGTTGATCTCGAAGTTGAGCGTCCACGGAATCCTTCATCCTGTTTAACAATACTCTGTTGAAGACTTTTCCTCATATTGAGAGGAGAGTGATGCCTCTGTAGTTGTCGCACTTGCTCAGATCGCCTTTCTTTGGTATCTTGATGAGAAGTCCTTCTTTCCAGTCTGTTGGTACATGTTCTTCGTCCCAAATCTTACCGAAGAGGATGTGGAGTATCTTGGCAGTTGCTGTTACATTTGCTTTCAGTGCCTCTGCCGGGATGTTGTCTGGTCCCGCTGCTTTGCCACTCTTGATTTGTCTAATGGCCATGCTGATCTCTTCAATTGTTGGTGGGCCAATATCGATTGGGAGGTCTGTGGGTGCTGCTTCGATGTTGGGTGGGTTCAGTGGAGCTGGTCGATTCAAGAGTTCTTTGAAGTGTTCTACCCACCTGTTTCGTTGTTCTTCAATATCGTTGATTACTTTGCCTTCCTTGTTTTTCACTGGTCTTTCTGGTTGACGGTAATTTCCAGCAAGTTTCTTTGTTGTATCATACAGTTGTCTCATGTTTCCCTCTCTTGCAGCCTTTTCCGCTGTCATCGCTAAATCTTCCACATATTTACGTCGGTCAGTCCTGATGCTCCTCTTCACTTGCTTGTTTGCCTCTGTGTATTCGGCTTGTGCCTTGGCTTTTTCTGCTCTTGTTCGGCTGATATTGATTGCTACCTTCTTGTTCCTCCTTGCTTCAATTTTATCCAGTGTACCAACAGTGATCCATTCCTTGTGATGGTGCTTCTTTTGGCCCAGAACCTCCTGACATGTTGAAACGATTGCCTCCTTGATACCTTTCCAGCTGCTCTCTATGGTCGTTCCCTCTTCATTGAGTAGGTTATGAAAGGCCTGGAACCTGTTGCTGAGGGCTATGTTAAATTCGTTGAGTTTGTCAGCATCTCGAAGAAAGGCCGTGTTAAACTTTTGTGATGTTGTCCGCGCCATTGTCCAGTGCTTCTTGAGTTTTAGTTTCATCTTGGCGACCAGCAAATGGTGATCGGATGCTATATCAGCTCCTCTCCTGGTTCTCACATCCTCCATCGTCCTCCTGAACTTTTTGTTGATGCAGACATGGTCGATTTGATTCTGTGTAGTGTGATCCGGTGAAATCCAAGTGGCTTTGTGTATGTTTTTGTGTGGGAATATGGTGCCACCTATGACCAGTTTATTGAAGGCATATAGGTTTGCAAATCTCTCACCGTTTTCGTTCCTTCCTCCCAGTCCATGTTGTCCCATGACGTCTTCGTATCCAGTGTTGTCCTTTCCAACCTTGGCATTGAAATCTCCCATTAGAATGGTCAGGTCCTTGGTTGGGCACTTCTCGAAGATTGACTGCAGCCTATCGTAGAATTGGTTTTTAGCGTCTTCATCGTAGTCGTTGGTCGGCGCATAGCATTGGATGATGTTCATTGTAATGCCCTCTCTCTTTGTTCTGAAGGAGGCTTTGATGATCCTCGGTCCATGAGATTCCCATCCTATAAGTGCATTTTGTGCTTTTCTAGACAGCATCAATGCAACTCCTTGTGTATGTGGGGCATTTTCTTCTTCATGACCGGAGTATAACAGAAGTTCCCCTGAAGACAGTCGTTGTTGTCCAACCTGCGTCCAATGTGTTTCACTGATTCCAAGCACTTCCAGGTTGTATTTCCTCATTTCCGCAGAAATTTGGAAGACTTTGCCGGTCTCCCACATTGTCCGGACATTCCATGTACCTATAAAAATTGTCGCTCTGGTTGTAAGAAGGTGCATCGGCCTCATGACTTCCGAAGGAACTCGGCTTTCATCATGAGACGTCATTTTTCCTTCTACTCCCAGGGCAGAGTTTGAATGGTTTGAATGAATTTTTCTGGTTAGCGTTTTTTTAGCGAGTTGATTTTCTACGGGATGGGGTCGCTAACCCCATGCCCAACCCTCCTCCTTTACCCGGGCTTGGGACCGGCAGTAGCCCCTGGAGGAGCTACAGGCGGAGTTAGGATATTCGTAGGTTTCTAATATTTAATCATAGATGCCATCGAAGCGTCACTCGTGTATTTTGGGACCACCGAATGAAAAGTGACAAAGTTAGGCATTAGTATACTAGATAAATAGGCGAATCTGTTGATAAGGTGGTAAATATTCATCAAATATGGTGGTTGGGACTTCTGTTACGTACGTCCAACCAGTCTACTTCAAGCTAAGTGACAGATGTCTGGTATCATTTACTTTTTCAGGCCCACCCTCACTGCACGAAAATAGTTATTGTAAGTCTCCTCAGGAAGAAGTTATAAGCATATGGTCATTCGAGATCATTTCTGAAGGTAGGGTGGATTCTTCCAACCCAAGTCCATAGCATGGTATCTCGGAAACTAAGATCGAAAGTCTTTTCTTTAGTGAGCTAGTCAGGTCAGGAAATTAGCCAGCCATTGCTCGAAGGCTTCTATGTCAACTGAGAAATCAGAAATGTATAATAATAAAGAGGTACAACAAAATATACACGTCATTCAATAAAACTATCCTATCAAGTGAACGTTAAATCATAAAATTCCTTAGCGTTATTAAGTTAATTGTGTAATATAACTGTCCCTTAATCACTCCAAAGTTTGTACTTCACAAACATACACTTTCTTAATGAGATCATTCACTTAATGACCTAAACTGGATTATTCATGTAGCTTACTATTTTAATTGCATATATTAAATAGGATTCCTTCACTTCATTAACACTTTTGAATTAAAATTAGGCAAACGTAACACCATAAGTTTGAACCTCTGATATTTTTAAGTACATGTTAAATGTAATTATTTTTATTCTTTAGTTCGAGATAGTGTTTAATAATAGCAGCTTAACTGTTAAAAGCATATGACTCAACTATTCAGTTGTATTTTAACTAATTTATCTTGGGTTATTATCGGACACCGAAATACATAAATCTATAATTTATTATTTTGAGATCATCAGTTGATCACTGTTAGACCACCACTGAAAATCTAGAAGCACTGGATGGCCATTTCATCCTAGTATGGGACTCCTCAACAGTGCATGCTCACGACCGTACACGTGAACTCGAACCCAGGACCTTCGGTTTCGCCCACGGGATCGTGAATGCGCACTACTGAAGAGTTCCATACTCGGACGAAATGGCCGTCCAGTGCTTCTAGATTTTCAATGGTGGTTTAACCTTGGTCGATCCTTGATCTCAATCAAAACTCAAGGATCTTCACTTAAATCTGAATGAAACGTATGTGGGTTTCATAGTATCATTTTCTTCAAAATTGAAGAAAAATTGTTTTAATGTTGTAATGTGATTACGTTTTTCGTCTTGAGATTAACTTTATTTTACTTTCTTCTTTTGATACTATCCACACACACACACACACTTTCACATACTTATACATGTACACTGTGAACATGGTAACTAACCAACTTCAGACTTCTTTACGAAGAACGGAATCGGAAAAAAGTGAGTAAAGAAATGCAGTTGGCGAGTAAATTCTTGACAAATAATTAATCAGATTGTTTTTTTTTATTGTCAAACTAATAACACAACAATTACTTACTGACTTATCTTGTTTGTTTTCTGTCAACACTATTTATTCGTTTGTTTCCGTCACTTTTTTTTGTCTTCATTTGCTTTGAATTGTTTTAATTTGATCCAAAAAAATGTGTCTTCTCTCCATCTCTCATCCTGTCATCTCACTTTTACGTGAGAAAAAAGACGGTGAGCATGAGTATAATGGAAATCTTACTGATTGTAAATTAATCTGTCTTTGTATTGGTACAACATTCTCAATTCGTTTTTTATTATTTGGAATTTCAGTAGATGTGAAAATGCAATTTGCATTGCTAAAATAATCATATTAAATTGCTGATATAATTAATGATTATGCTCGAAATAAACGAAAGGAATTATCAACAGTTGAATATTTTTAATATTCTCAGTTTATATAGCAAAATATTGGATTTAATTGGTACGTCATAATAATTTGCGAAAATATATCACGTTGAAATATTTAGACACCGGCAACATCCTGACTGTAGCTGATACTTTGAATTGGTGGTCGGGTTTGCCTATTTTGATGACTCAATCGGGTTGTTTGGAAAACTATAAGATTTGAACGGCCCGAAGTCGTACTGCTGAGTGTAGAGAGGTACGACAGTAGTAAGGTGTTCCCCTCAGACGACCGGCATCTGCAGTGATGCTGCAGGTCGACCCTAGAAATTTTACACCTCACCTTACCCCATAGATTTCCGTCTCCGGTGTTAAGGCTTTTTGAAGTGCAAAGTTTACATACTGAAAACTCCCCGTAAAAAGGCTGTGTGCAACTTGTCTCAAGCAGTTGTCGCTTGGTTTCTGCAGTCATGCTACCAGGTCTACAAGACCACCACTAATTCAGTTTCTTTTCCAGTTCCCACAAGAAATATCCTTTTTTCCTTTTTTTATTATTATCAATATTGATGGCTTTAGTCAATACTGTATTTTAGTACAATGTAAAATTCTGAATGTGAGCAACTGGGAAGTGACAGTCGTCCTCATATTTCTATCAGCACCCGACATTATCTTGTTACCGATCAAATCCCTCCATCACCTCTTGATAATTTTCATATCCCTGTAACTAACCTTTGTGGCATATGTTTATCACCATGCGCTACTATAGCTAATGATTTGAGTTCACGGAAAGTTATTCCTGGTCTCCTGAAACCATTCTCCAAACTACATGTTGGAGCATTTAAAGTTTGAACTGTGTCAGATAGGACAATAGGGTTCTTTTGCCAAGACTCTCGTATCTCACCCTATCAATGTATGCTGCGTCCGAAACGCGCACACAGGATGTGGGTACAGTCATTTATTTGACCTCACCTTGTCAATATAAAGAACCGGCACGATTTACCCTTTGAGTTTCTGGAGACCTCACTACAACTTCCTGTGGCCTCGGTGGTGTAGGTATAACAATAATTTCTAAAGCAGAACAGGTTCTGTTAGACTTGATTCCAACATGTAGTCGCTTGTTCATTGTCCGACTAAACAGGACAGTAAGAACTCAAAAAGGTAGGGGCACACTCCGTTGCCTTTTTATTGTCTCTACGTACACTCTCACTGATCGCAGTATGAATAAACTTAAAAATGGATTTTAGGGGTTGTTGTCCAACCTCCTTCAAAAAGCTGGACGCTCTGATTTAATAATAGTGGCGGATGATTTCAATATTAAAGTAGGTAGACTAAACCAAATGGAAACGCACTCAGATAACTATTGTGATGTTGCGGCTCAGGTAACAGATAATAGTAACCTTCTGTCTCAGATAACTATCCATTTCGTGCAGCATCAAAGTCAAGCATATATAGAAACATCGTTTGACGTGGTGACCTTAGAAATCGACTCATCGATGGACTCAAATAGATCACATTATCATCAGCCATCATTGTTAAGATCGATAGTAGACTGTCGCTCATTTCGGAGCATATGTTTAGATTCTGAAACCAACTGTCAACCAATAATAAATTCAGAATCTTTAATACGAACGTCAACACAGTTCTATTGTTCGGAGATGAGACTTGAAGAACTACGGCAACCATCGTCAATAAGGTACAAGTATTTATAAATAGTTGTCTACGCAAGATACTTCGGATCCGTTGGTTAGACACTATCAGAAACAACCTACTGTAGGAGAGAACAAACCAGATTTCAGCGGAGGAAGAAGCGCTGGAAGTGGATAGGACACAATGAGGAAAGCATCCAACTACGTCACAAGGCAAGCCCTCATATGGAATCCTGAAGACCAAAGAACACATTACTCCGAGAAATGAAGACAGACATGACGAAAATTTGAACAAAAATTGGATAGAACTAGAAAAGAAGGCTCAGGACAGAGTAGGTTAGAGAATGCTGGTCAGGGGCCTATGCTCCATTGGGGGTAACAGGTGCAAGTAAGGTAGCTTAAGCCAAACAGAAAGAAATTTAGGTGGTTATTTTGGAATTCTGGCTCAGTACATGTCTGAACTCTGATCATGCTCTCATAGAAGCACGCATTCGCTTGCGCTCCACTGGACGCAGTAAAGCCACTCTAAAAAGACCCGTTAGAGTTCAACTCAGCGACAAAAAAGCCAGAGGTAAATTCCATGAACAACTGAAGTCAGACTTAGGCAATTTTGAAAATGAGGCTCACCTAGTTGTTGCTTGAAAAGATATACGAACGGTTGTGGAAAGAGCAGCGACAACTATTAGTGATCTGAACTAAAGGGTTACGAAAAACCAGTGGATTTCATCTTCATCTATTGCATTGGTAGACTCTCATAAACTCATCCCATCTGGCTCCGAAGACGGTGACGAGCAAAAGCAAATTAGATCTAGGTTAACTAAAAGTCCACGGAACGATTGTGAGCAAGTAAAGCAAAAGGGATGGAAAATGCAGCGGCTGTAGGTAGCATCAGACAGCTTTTCAGACCAATGAAAGAAACCGGAATTAATAGTCAAGTGTAAGTGAGATGATCTCGTCGAAAGACGGTACTGTTATCTTCTCTCAGTTCAGACGTTTAGAATGATAAGCGGAACACTTTAGAGAACAGTTTAGCTGGTCATCAGCTACACTACAGTTACCCACCATTCCCAGACAGGTTGAATGGAACATTGAAGTAGGTCCCTCGACTCTAATGGAAGTACAAAAAGCTATAGCTAATCTGATACGAGGTAGAGCAGCTGGTCCTGATGGATTTACTACAGGGGTCTTTAAGGATGGTGGTATAGTTTTTTCGATCAGGTTGACTAATATTTTAGCTAAAATCTGGGAGTTGGAGGTAATCCAATATAAGTGGTCGGAATCACTGATCGTCCCAATGTATGAAAAAGCGTCAAAACCATCCAGTGATAACCATAGAGGGACTGGTTTGGCTAACATATCATGTAAAATGCTAGTCTTAATAATTATTGGACACACAACAAAGACTCGTGAACTGCAAACACGAGAAAATCAGACTAGCTTCAGACCTGGTCGTGGCTGTATTAAACACATATTCACCAGATTTTAGAACACAGACATGCTATTTTGGCGTCCATCAATGAATCTTTCTTGACTTAAAAGCAACATTTGACTGAGATGTTCCGTGGCAGTGTCTGTCATTGCAAGGTGTTCCGCAGAAGTAAATAAACCTTGTGAAAGCTCTTTACCCGAAAACTACCATTTGAATAAAAGCTTATCGGGAACCGTCATCTGATTTTACTACGTCATCAAGGCTGTCCAGTATCCCCATTTTTGTTTAACTTCGTCATAGACCTATTGCTGGAAATACCGTTCTCGTAGACTGAATTTTCGGGCATTGATCTCCTACCAGGAGGTCCACTTATCGACTTAGAATACACAGATGACAGTCCTGTTTGGTGAAGACTGACAAAATGCAGATTCTTCCGTTAGAACTGAGTAAAAATGCCAGGATGTTTGGGATGGGTCCCTTAAACCGTGAAATTAAAATTACTGTATACCTTTCTTCCTATGTACTAATTATTCATTCCGGTATTATATCATTTACCTAACCTTTCTTATATATATTACTACCACTTATTAACTACTTCTATGAATTTTCTGTTCGTCTTGTGCTTACGAGGGGTGGCAACTAGGAACGATACATAAATGTGCCTGGTCTTACGTTGTAGCTGACTGACCAATGAAACATAAGTTGGTAGTGGATATCTTAAAGCATAATTCAAAGACTGGACTTCTGCAATAATGACCGTATTCTGAAATCCTATAGAGGGATAAACTATTCAATGTCATCTGACTCGCTCTTTTTTACTCAGTGGATTAAGTTATACGTGTAGTACGAAACAAAATCTGTTTTGTCATAGCAATAATAGTCTATCAAACTAAAATGAGGCAACATTTTGTCAACGAAATAGGAAAAAACTTAATTGAAGTACAGACATACTAGGAACACAGTAATATAGTTTTGACGCAACAAATAACTATCTACTTTTAGTAGAGAGATAAAATCAAAGCTTGATAATACAGCCTGCATTTGTGAAATATTGTAATCACGTTTCTTCACTTTATTAGACGGAACTATTATGTTTAAAAGTCATCATAATGTATTGAATTGATTGTTAGTTCATTTACTTAATTAGTTAGTAAACGTATCACAGATAAATTTCTAAATTACATTGATAAAGGCTACTAGGACTGTTTAAATGTTTTTCTTCGAATAACTTTAAGATTGTTAAGGAACATAGGCTGAAACCGCTATGAACATGGTGTCAACTTTGATTCTAATGACACTGCAAAAAATTAATGAGATTGTAAATGCAGAGTTGGCTACTTTCGTGAAACGACAGGCAGATGTAAAGAATCAGTGGTTGCCTTATAACTTTTGTTTTTGGCTAGTTATTTCGTCGTTTAACATTAACATCGTTGGATGCCAGCTCAGTGGTCTAGAGGTTAAACGTTCGCGCGCGAGACCGATAAGCCTTGTGTTCAAATCTCGCGGCGCGGGATCGCGGATGCGCACTCCTGAGGAGTCCCACACTAAGACGGAATGACTGTCCAGTGCTTTCAGGTTTTCCATGGCGGTCTGGCTTCAATCGACTAATGATTTCAACTATAAAATCACTAGTAATCATGTCATCGACGCTGACTATTTTATAATTAAATGAAAACATTGGTTTCCTAGTATATGTCCGTTGAGTAGAATGATCAGTGAGCCCATCTTCTGAAGTGTTTGTATTGAATTCGGAGGCAGTCCTGTAACATAACTATCAGTTCGGTCACCTCAAACACTTTGGTTACAATAAATGTCTAGACATTATGAAATAAAAAAATAGGTAATTGTAACTCTAAAGTGTAAATCTTGTTTCACTGGAGCATTATGTTACTTTTAATACGAGATTATCAATACTTCATACATACTGCATCCAATGTAGAAATGATATTCCTAAATTTAATGAATTTGATACATTACTGTTTGTTTCCTTCTAAAACTGATTTGAATAATGTTGAAGGTTGGAACTTGTTTAAAATGTCATATGAAGAAAACAAACAAAAGCGCATCAATTAGATTTTATTTACAAAAGACTGAGAGAAAGTCTAGAAAATATTTTGCTAATTAATGAACGAAACTGAGGTTAATTAACAAATAATTCCGTTTATATCAATATGAAATCAATTAGTTATTTAATTCTTATCATCAATAAAATTGGAGAATGTATGTATGTACAGTGTTATAAATGAAATCAGGGAATAAATATTCATTTTTTTGTAAAGATTCATGTTGTTGAATGAGGGCAACGGTTACGTGTATGACCAGGCTGTCGGCACAACCCACAACATCTAGTTACACTGGATGACGCAGATAAACTACGGTCTTTAAAGTCACGATTTTTATTCCTAGAAATTGCACCTAGTAAAAGAGAAAAATTAGATGGAAATTATAAATTGGTTTATTTAATTTTGAAAACAGTTTTCATTATTCAGTTCCGTTTACAATTATCATTATTATTGATAATAAAAGACAAAATAGACAACTTACCTCTTGAGTTATTCGAAGCTGGAGGAGGCCATGATGGGACATGACCGACAGAGATATTTGTTTCAGCATTCGCTGCTGTTCTATGATAACTAAGTCCTTGTTCAATACTTGATCCAGATGCATATCGTCTGTTTGAAAGCCCATATGAGGATGAATCCGACTGTCCTGATGCTGGATCAATGTGATCTGCCCACTGAAAAAAATTACATCCAGATGCTGGACCACCATCGACATTAGGACGACTGTTTGGACATGCGTAAAAATGACGACCTTTGTTAGACGACTGTTTATTGACAACAAGTCTAGTTTGTTGTAGAAAAAATTAAAAATGCTTAACCATCGAAATAGTGAAATCTGAGGAAAAAATCGACACCAAATCACAAGCAAATACACAAAACAGGTTAATAGATTTAATGTTATATAACATTAAGCTTCCGACTGTTTTAATAGTGCCATGAAATAAAACTATACTTTTCTGAACATCCGTTAACTACGTGTGTTCGAGCTAGTTAAATAGTTTATATTTTAATCCAACCTGGACTAAATATATATATTCCAATTATATTATTTGACTTAAATAGTCGATCTAAATAAATAACTGACTTTATAAATGCATATCGGTTTATGTTCTATTTACAGGTAACCGATATTTGGACAACAATAGCAACACAGATTTGATGTTTATAAACTTTTAACGCTAATAAATCGTGAACAATCTAACATAAGGTAAAAGTAATCAAGATCCGTTCACTAGACATTAGGTAACATACCAGTGAAATGGACACGGCGAACAGTAGATTTTGTGTGTTTCACATCAAAATCATAACAAACTGATGTGTGGTCAGTGAAAGTAGGTGTGATTGGCCACTGAGCATGGACAAACAGGGAATTAGCCTCCTAACCGTTAAATACAGGAAATCTTTTTCTTCAATTAACTTCAACTCTGAACTCACCTACCTAGATTGACTGATTGTAATTGTATGTGATAAATTATTGTCTAGTCAATATTCTGGATTTCTAATTTAAGGTCATGAATCGTGTATCTGATATAACGTGATCTAATCTATGTATAGTGGTACCAACCGAGTATCCGGTCTAGTAGCAGTGTACTCTCGGTCAGCAGTCATTATCGTAGCATATTGTGGAACACGAGGAAATAATTTTAATTTGTCGGTTATATTACATATACCTTTAATTAACATCAAACTAGTACAATGTACTTCAGAACCATTTCACGACTAAAGTATAGAAACAACACCAACTGTAATGTGAAAATAGTGATAGTTTTCAATTTGCGTGCTTTAGTTTTGTTATTGCCAGTAGACATTTTATAAAAAATCACTGCGATATGCTAATTCCTTTGTTTATCTGATGTTCAACAAAAATAACTAGGTAAGTACGGATAGTTACATTATCTAAATAGTAAACAGCGAAACTATTAATATTAAGAAGAACAAATCACAGAGCATCATCCTATAATATTAACCCATTCAAATTTCACATGGTAAAATAAGACCATATCCACAGTACTTAAGTTGTTCAACACTTTCAGAATAAATTACTTTCATGAGCGCTTTATCTTTGCTATAACAGTCCAGTGCTTGCAGGTGATTGAATATGAAAATGAATTTCCAGTGGAAAACAGAAATATTAGGAGAAAGACAGATATCAGTGACAGGTTTGGGAACTGACTAATTGTTCTGTTTTTCCCTATTCGTTTATTACAGGCCTTGTTTCAATAACTAAGTAACTGTAATCAGAGTATAAGAATTACATCAGCTTAGCTGGTCAGTCACAAATTCTAAATACAATTTAAATCTGATATGACATAAGCAGCAGTTAAATACTTACAATTTTGCAGGCTCTCCGCAACGACAAACAACACAAGCTGAATTAGAGTCTGAAGAACCTAAACCAGATGTTCTATCGCTGACACAATTAGCATTCTCAGATACATTTTCAAGACGAGAGCACGGGTCGATGACATTCCGTAATGACCTAATGAACAAGATACGATTAGAAAAAGAGCGGTTATTGAACACACACAAATAAAACACCAGGGATAATTGACAGGACCATAAGTTTTCTCCCCATTGTCTCCGTTATTAATTACAGACTGATGGTGAAACACTAAATGGTGTCGAACATTAGTATATATGTGCTGATTTTCTACGACAACTAAATCATGTTGTGGTGAAAAACTAGAAAATTAATGTGCAACGTCACTGCTAACATATAATAACTATATGTTCCTCGCTACCTATAGAGCAAGCAATCACATAGATATCTCAACTATTCTGAAGTGTAACTATCAAGTCAAAAAGCAGATACAAAGGGCGTTGTTTATCTTGCAAAAGTACTCTGTACTTTGACTGCGCGAGGGACATGCTCTGTACGTCATATTAAGAAAAGCTATATTATTCACATCATTCAGATTTCCCTATTTTTCCTTTGGGTATATTTCTATTATCTCAACTGGAACGACAATCACCTCTCTGGACAAAAACTCGTTTTCAGTATCTTGCCTAGGTCCACTACCTAATGATACTGGAATAAGTGATCAGTTAGATTGTTGAGTTGTCACTGGTCAATGAAGATAAAATATATACATGGAGGGCAGATGTGACGGAAATTACGGAAAAGCGTAAATGATACGTGGAATTCCCGCTAAAATACTAAATAATAAAGTTAAAGTATATTAAGCTTAAGGAATATTAAAAACGTAACACAAATGGTTGAATATTTTCAATTTAGCATGTTGTACTAAACGTATTATCAGAATGACTAAGTCTTTTTCTTTGAGCTAGGACTACCCATCGAGAAAAGTCAGGAGATTCCTATACCCACTAACACTGAATCACATAACAAGGTTATTGCATACGCTAGTGATTGATACTCTATTCAATATCCTCATGGGTTCTCAAATTCCAATAAGTACATCAAACAAACAATACTAAGTTGAATAAGTACATCAGTTAAACTAAATGGATATCTCATGTTATCCTATATTCTTCAAACTTGAAAACGTACGTATAGATGAAATACGGAGTACGATGAACAATTAATCTCAATGTCTACTTAACTGAGTAATAGGTTTGTGGCTAAGTTACTGTACTTTATGAACAGTGAAAGATATAGTCAGTTAATGGGTCAAATATAAGCTTAGATTTAGGATAAGATAAGAATACCACAGACCAATTGATTGATTACACATTATATAAAAATAGCTGCCAAATTTTCATACTTTCATTTACTCGCTTCACCCTAACATTTAAGACGATCACCGACTTGTTAAGTTAATATAGTAACCGGTTACTTTGAGACTAAAAGCTTATACACAAAGCAAGTTAGGAATTCGAGTTTTCCATTGAACTGGATAAGTCAGTGTCTGATTTAAGTCCTTCACTTTATAAGGGATACCCGAAAATTGTAAATGTAGTAATTAAAACTTCGCTAGTTAGGAAGAGACAGAAGACCCACATCCAATATTTTCGAAAGTTAGGATATCAATTCAGAAAATGGAACCAATATAGTTCATAAAAAAAAGCAGGTCGGCCCTTAGCATGAATATTTTGTACATAAATGACATGAGGAAATGTAGGATACTTTAATCGTTCTCACAAAAGTTAAGTGTTTTACTTATCTTATCTCAACCATATGGTCTGATCGATCAAGTACTCTGAGTGAACAATCTAAAAAGACAAATTCATTAATTTAGATTTAGCCATATTTTACCAGTTTTCCTCACACAGAAGATGGAGAGGCTTTTATGTTGGAAACGATACTGTAGTGATGATAATTATGACGTGATAATGTTAAGTAAATTGAAAACTAGATAGTTTGTATAAAAAATTAAAGCAACTTACACTTGAGTACTAGAATACAAAGGACTAGATTGAGCAATCGTTATTGGAGTTGTTTGGGATTTCCATAAAAAGAAATCACAAGAATTACCTGCTACTCCAGGACAACGATAAAACAATCGACCTGAAAAATAAAAAAGGCTTATATAAACAAATACAATAAGAACCAAATTTACAAAATCCTGTTAACAAATTTTCAAGCTGAGTAGTGAATAGAACAGACGGACAGTATTACATATGAAACAATATTATCGCTAAGCTGTGGTCCGAACCAAAAAAAGAAATCAACAGTTTGTGTGGGACAGATTACACAGAAGCCTAACTGAAAAGTAAATAAAGATGATCGATCAGTCATCATCAACGTGACACATATGTGCGTTGGACTAAGTTATCATACCAAATTAACATATGATGCGAATAACGAGATGGATTATAAAATAAAGTGAAATAATGTAGTGGCGGTGAAAATGGGAAAGATTAAACACTGAGAACATGTTTCGAAAAGGCACGGTATGTATAAAAGTATATTGGAATTCAAGATCTACAAGAAGATAAAGAGATAATGTATCTTCACTATTTTAAACGATCATAAGCCATGTTACCCAAAGTCTTGATACACCGATTGCAGTTATCACCCCTACACAAACCAGGCAACCTGCAACTACTACCATGGTTTAAGGAATGATTAGTAAGCCAGACATAGAGAACTTAGGATTTGATACAGTTAAGTATCTGTTCAAGGTGTTTTTGTTACATTTGGACGTAGTATGAATTTACTGAAATGGAACCAGATGAAAAGAAAATGATTATACTAACTATAGTGAAAATGGTTCTAAAAGAATAAATGAAATAGAAGTACTTGGCTCTTCAAACCGAAGTAGATGGCGTGCTGTCTGAATCTGAGATCGTTTGTTTGAAAGCTGAATTGCTGTAACCACTAAGTCTGTTTTGAATATTCAATGAGGTAATAGTCTCGTTAGGTAAATTCAGTAAACGCAAGTTCCATAAGCAAACTGATTTATAGATCTAGTAAAAAAAACCGAATCATTAAGAACTACAGCACTGAAAAAAATTCAGGTATGACTATCCTTGCAATGAAACTGTCAAATCTCTAGTAGGAGCCTGTTACCTGTAACGTCAAATAAATTGGAAAACAAGTAGTAACAGATGAAAGAGGATGAGGACCATGGTTTATTCAGTCAGCTACAACGTGAGACCAGGCACATGCATCGGTCCAAGTTGCCATACCTCGTTAGCACAACAAGAGGAACACCGGATTCATAGTAGTTAATCTAGTGTTGGTAGTAGTATATAAATTATAGGTTGTATATAAGGATATAGTACAGGAAGGAAGAGAGATATGAAGCAATTTTAGTCTCAAGGTTTAAGGGAAGATAAAGAGTGTATACACCTACGCCATTGTGACCGATTCTGAGCCATGTCACACAGAGTCTTCAACAATTGGTTACGATAGTCACGCGGACGCCAACCAAGTAGTCTGTATCTACCAAAATGGCTCAGACTAGAAGTTGGTGACTTCAAGCACGTTTTGGTTTGGCCGCCCCTAACTCTCTTCCAACCATCCCATACACTAGTCAACATTGCGCGTCGTGGTAATCGGTGTTCAGGCATACGTAACACGTGGCCCAAAAATCTCAGTCGATGAAGATTCATCACCTCATCAATTGATTTACCATCATTCCCTAATACCCTGCGTCTAATCTCACTATTACTTACCCGGTTATCCCAGCAGATGCGAGCAATATTTCTAAGGCATCTGTGGTCAAATACTAGTAATTTGTGAGTATCTTCTACTCTTAATGACCATGTTTTACAGCCGTAAAGTAGAACAGAGAGAACTGTTGCACAGTATACTCGTCCCTTAATTGATAGACGGATATTTCGCCTTCACCATAGGTGACGAGGGTTGGCAAAAGTCAAACGAGCTTTTTGAATCCGTGCAGAAATTTCGTCAGACACCAACCCATTAGGGCTGATCAGACTTTCAAGATAGGTGAAGTTGTCCACGCGTTCGACTACTTCACTCCCTATCCTTAGTTCGAGTGTTGACGCAGGCCAGTCCTGGAGTAACAATTTACATTTGGATGGGGAGAAACGCATCCCAAACATCCTGGCATTATTACTGAGTTCCAACAGAAGACTCTGCATTTTGCCAGCGTCTTCACCAAACAGGACTATGTCATCTGCGTATTCTAAGTCGCTTAGTGGTCCCCCTGGTAGGAGATCAATTCCTGTAGATTCAGTCGAAGAGTGTTATTTCCAGCAACAGGTCTATAATGAAGTTAAACAAAAATGGGGATAGTGGACAGCCTTGACGGACACCACTTGAGGTTGTAAAATCATATGACAGTTCGCCATAAGCTCTCACTCGACTAATAGTGCTCGAGTAAAGAGCCTTCAAAAGGTTTATGTACTTCTCAGGTACACCTTTCAATGACAGACACTGCCACAGAACCTCTCGGTCTACAAAGTCAAATGCTGCTTTCAAGTCAAGAAAAACTATCATAATCGAACGCCGATAAGCATGTCTGTGCTCTAAAACCTGACGAATAGTGAATATGTGGTCGATGCAGTCTCGAACAGGTCTGAAGTCAGCCTGATTTTCTCGTGTTTGCAGTTCACGGGTCTCAGTTAGGCGCCCGATAATTATTGAAGCAAGTATTTTAGATGTTCTTTTAGTCAGACTAACTCCTCTGTGGTTATCACAGGATGATTTTGATCCCTTCTTATATATTGAGACAATAAGTGGTTTATTGAAGACTCAAAACCAAGCATATGAACCAGTTACCTAAAGATACTATGGTCGTCGACGAGCTTCTTGAAAGCACGAGCGCACGCCAATTAGAAGTTCCTTAATGCGATGGAACAACTGTTAACAGTTCTTACAAGTTTTCGGTGGTTTTCTAAGTCACATAACTTCGTTATGGGGACTGAATTCAAATTTAAAAAAAAGCAACCAGGATTGCACAGTATGTGATTCAAAAGCTTCAACACTAAAACTATAGTGCACAAGAACAAGAGTGGGGACAATCGAATGTATTTGACACGAAATTACAGAATATCTCACTAAAATCTGACAATCACGCAGTAAACAGTTAATCTGCAAACTATCAATCAAACGTATCAATCTGGACCGTTTATTCTGCAAATATCAGTCCATCGTCTCCGATTATTATTGTTCATGCATTTTCATATTAGTTGCGTTACGTTCCCGTTTTTTCCTTATCGATCTTCTACTGAAACACATTCTATGCCTGACCATCGTTGCATACTACTTATGTCGATATAAGCAACACTACTACTACTACTACTACTACTACTACTACTAATAATAATAATAATAATAATAATAATAATAATAATAATAACGACAATAATAATTAATGATAAAAATATTATGACTAAACAAACATAGTGCAAGATCATAGACAGCATTATAACAATCATTTATAAACCTTGATTTGGGCCTGGTTTCTTGACAGTCAATTGAATAGCTGAATGACCACAATTGCACAAAATATTGTCTGAATCACCAGCCTCTGCGTTGTCAACAGATCTTGAGAAATTAGGAGACCGAGGTAGAGTGTTATGGGATGAATGATTAGATGTTGGATGTAGATTTAAATAAGGTTTCGCATGTAACAGATTGGAAAAATTATGATTACTATCAATTCCAGTAGATGAAAATGAAGGAGGAAGGGAGGAAGAAAAATTACGTGTTTGTGAAGGAAGAGGATCTCGATTAGCAATGAGTTCATTCGAAACAGTTGTTTGTGAAGAGATGGGTGGATTATTCACTAGACGAATATGAATTCCTAATATTCTGCAAATATCTTCATCGCAAAATATACAAGTTATATATCTGTAAAACAGGAATTTGAGAAATGAAAAAAATAAAGCAATAGAGTAACTGGCAGGTTAGAATTTAATTATAAAATATTAATTGAAAGGTAATAGATTAGAAGCAGTTGACATAAAGCCTTGTTTGATTGCACTCAACAGGAAGACTATATTGGTACTACTCTGAAGTTTATAAATAGATCATACTGTTGACTAGTAAATTAGTTACAATGAATTTATTGTTTTGTATTTAATCCTATCAACAAGCTTCTAATAAGATGTATCATTATCTGTTTAAGTGATCAAATTTAATATCTAATGTGTAGAATTTGATTTGTACTGTTGACTAAATCAACTAAGAATAATGACTAATAAGTAAGTTAAATCTAATTCCAGAGCAGGTTAGCCGTATTTCAAACAGACTAAGTGACAATATATTTGAAAAAAATTGGCTGGAGAAATTTTAATATGTATGTACACATCAACTTAGTAACAAAGGCATTAGTACAATCAGGTGAATGTTCGTGCACAGGATAAATAGTGCTTTTTGGATTTTTTTTTGCCATAATAATCATTGAAAAAGGGCAAATATTACCATTCCGTCATTAAGGGATTGGTCAAGTAAACTCCAAACTCTTTTACGGAAATATGACGTGGATTCAAAACAATAAATTGTCGATATTTCTGGTAGAGTCAAACAGCACCTTATAAAAGCTTTTTGAAGATTCTGACAGCATAATAGACGTATGAAGTCTCGAAATAAAAATAAAGGACACGTCTGGAAGACAATACTATTGAGAAACACAAACTTCAAAGACCTACAGACCTGGGTGTTGGCAACATTGTTAAGGTAGAATTAGGTTCAAAGTATATTCTACAAAAAGAATCAATAAGAATAAACACGTAAGACAGAAGAAAGTCTCGTCAAACGTCCACTAACGATTAAGAAAACAAAACAAATTAGACGCTATACTTTCATAGTAGGTAACCGAATTAAGGTAAACAAAGCTTTGATCAGAAGTATGTATAACTGGGGGGGGGGGTACATAAATACTGTATGAAATAAAAACACGTTAAAACACAGAAATAATGTTTGGTGAGGTAGAAAATTATCTGAAGTTAAAAAGTATATATCTTAAGATTATCATGCTTCAAAAAAAGACTACCGACCAGATAAATACTTGTAATTGAATCTATAAAATAATCTATATCAATCGCAACTTTATATATGAACTATTAAAATCCCACTAGGTCAATAACAACACTCCTCACATCAAAAACACCAACGTGCCACTATACAAAAGTGTAAATACAATAAAATGTAACTAGAAAAGAAATGCTGCATAAGGAAACTTATATGAGCATACTTTTTGTGTAACAATATTTGATAACAATAACAGCCATATAAATTAATGTACGTATGGTTTTTTGAGTGGATGATAATTATGTGACCAAAAGTCATTCATTTTTTCATGAAACACTAATTATAATCTCCTTAAGAATAGATAGATAAAGTTGCCTATTCATTTTGTAATATCTGTTTTCGAAAACTTTGTGAAAATTGTTGCGCACTGAAGTTTCTCTTCATAAAATTTCTGGACAGGAAATATAGAAGCACTTCAACAGCTTTTACTCATTTAGCCCCTAGAAATGCCCTGGTATGATCGAGAGTGGGTAGAACCAGCTCTTCCTCTCGAAATGCTCTCACATAGATACGTGTATACAGCCACTGACAGGGAAGTCCTACTCACTGCCTTTTCGTGGCGGGGCTGATTTTTAGAAATTGAGAGGACGAAAAGCGAATGTCCGGTGTTTTAACCAGGTTGGTGGGTACGGAAGATTCACATAGGAGAGTTGGAAAACCCTAATTCCAAACCAATAGTGCACATGGATTTCAGGGCCTTAAGGAGACACTGCTTTGGTTTGGGTGCTCGAGCAGTATTCCAACCCATTAACAAATCGAATGACGAAAAGTGGTGCACAAATATTTGGTGTCTCCTTGTACCAGTGTTTATGTGTTTAAACAAATAAACAATAATGTATACTCATTTCAATAAGAAGTCTTGTAAGAGTATTGGATTAAGACTTATGAGATAATGTGGTACAAAGATGAATTTCAACATATCGATTATCACTACCGAAGTATAAGAAATTACTATGTGAAGTGGGAATATGGATGATTGATTACATAGCCCTTAAAACGTGGTAAGTTATAACATACACTTCATATAAATGCGAATTTTCGTCAAGCATTAGCGTAGACAGTTTTCTACAATAAATGTATCTTTGCCAACACTGATTACTGCTTGATACCTTTTGTCTGAACGGCATATAATTGAACAATATAATATACCTGAGTAACGAATGTATAATAATAATACTTACTCTTTAGTATCGTCATCCTGAATGTAACCGTTTGGCAAGTAAAAATTGCGTCGAAAACGTAAGCCTAATTTCGACGGCCCCGACTGATCATTAGAAGGACGTACAGATGAAGAAGGTATGAAGTTTGCACAACGATTGCACGTATTTTCATTCGTTTCAGACAAAACACGAACATGAATGACTGAATCTGGAAACCAAATTGCATATCGACAATTAGGATAGCCAGAACATGAGAGAAACCAGCCACCGTTACTTGTCTGATTAACTTCATTTGAACTTTGAAAGAGATAGTTATTTTAGGTGATTTGTAGGACAGCCATACAAAAGGTCATAGAAAAGACTAATTGGTAAATATTGTGAGAATAGTGTACAAAACAATTTGGATGAAAATAAACTAAGCAATACCAATTACTAAGTCAGAAAAAAAGAATGTAGTTCAAAAGCTATGGACGAAGGAGAAATGATTCAATCATATCATAACAGAACTTAAAAGTTCTTTAGTGAGATAGAATTCGAGCACAGTTGCCAGTTAGAGAAAAATAACTGTTAAGTCTATCGAAGCGTCCAAGTAACCTAATCGAGATACGCGCAAAATCTAAATTCACAAAACAACGATTTGTCTAAAATGGTGTGGCTCTCTTCATCTTCGTTTGATTAGTTTTACCTGATGATTCAATCTCAAATTTAGGCAAGCCTACTGACATGGGCGGTGGCTCAACATCATCTACGCCTATTTTAATTTCAACATCTCTGCTCGTGCCTTCACTAGCATATCGGCGGCCGACAACAACTTCAGGCGTCCTATCTTGAGGTTGAGACACAGATAGTTGAGACATCCGAGACTCACTTTTTACCTTGTTAAGACGTATCTGCTGTAACTCTATCACTCGTTTACGAAGCTCAAGCTGTTTAATTTGTAACCCAATACTTACTACTTTTAACTCTCTACGCATTGCTTCTTCCTCAATCACCCTACGTTTAGTATTTAGATGGGGGTCAACTAAAAGACAACTGTCTTTGGGGTTTGGTTTTACATGATTAAAAGCAAGATTTAAAGAAGCAGGTGAGGTCACCTTAGAGATTGAGAGAACAGTGTTTTCAGCGCTTGATTCATCTGTTATCATAAATGAATATGAAAGCATTAAAACTAACCCAGGATTATTTGAAAGATTTGAACTAGTTGTTAACGGGCGTAAAGCACTCCGTTTTTGACGAAGTACTAGACCAGAATGACAAGTAGGGCAAAACGCAACAACCGGGTTTAAAACGTTGCTTTGATTATGTCCACCACTGGTGTTATTGCTAGCAGCAAATGAGGCCATCTCACCAACACTACCAGATATATCTAAAAAAAGTTGAAATGGGGGAAAAACAAAACAATAAACAACATGTCAAAACTTGTAGCAGTAAATAAATAGTTCTGTATGTCTTCGACGTTGATGCTAACCTCATTAGTTTTACTGGATACACCCTAGCTGAGGGTACTCGGTCATGCACCCGCACCACATCACGAGAGGGTACGCATCATGTACTACGCATCCCTTGAACAACTTCCACAAACTCAACACTTGAATAAATTCCGTATATTATTTGCTTTAACATTAACAGTCTAACCAATGCACAATTTATTTGAAATTATCAAGTTAAACCTTGATAAAAATAACTAGAAGTGTATGAAGTTGCACACATGTTTTCAATCATTTGAATATTTAAATGCTGCCCATAGTTCAAGGAAACCGATGACCTACCTTGAAAATAATTCTAAAGTTATTAACCTACAGTCCATATCACAAGCCTAACACTATCATTCTAATTCTGCATAATCTTTGGTTTTGAACAGGCATTTAATTTATCAGAGTTTATTTCTATTTCTTTTTCCCAGCCCTCTTTCTCTCTCTTCACTGTCATTAAAACCTGGGATTCGAAATTGACTATACATTGCTGGTTCAAGTATTGAACTAACTCAAACTGTTTCAAGTTTATATATATATATATATATATATATATATATATATATATATATATTGATCTGAAAATATCACTTTGACTATTAAAGCATATAAGTAAGACAACAGATTAATAGAAAATATATATGATAAAATTTTAGCTGGGCTTTTTTATTTCAAATAAAAATGGAAAAAAATGTTGCTACGTTTAGCGTCGACAGGAAATTAAACTTAATATTTATACAGTAATTTTAAAATGTCACTTCATATCATGATTTGACATATGGAATCAGAATTACAAATGCGTTATGTATATTAGATGTCTTAACATTCTGGAGTTTATATTAGATAGATATCCGCATATGGATGCATAGATGACTAGGCAAAGAAGCCGAATCATTTAAAAGAGCTATGAACTCTCACTGAATGAGGAAATTAGGACTGGAAGAAGCCAAACTGAAATATGGAAATCCTCTGTAAAGCCACTGACTATTCGATCTGAGCATTGGTGAAAACCACAGATTTCCTGTTCAAAGATTAAGTAAGAGTCATACTCTATACCTAAACAGTTAGTGGAACAGCTCAAAATCAGTTCGAATAGTGCATATATGCACATAATCTCAATCTAAATTTTGAGTCATTATATTACGCTACACATTTTAGTTTTAAATATATATATATATATATATATATATATATATATATATATATATATATATATTACTCAATGACTAATGAATACACTATTTGTAGTCAGTTAACCGTATCCATTATGTTCAAGGCATGAAATTAACTTACTTTGAACATTTTCTGCTTCTTGTTCCAATCGAAGAGCTAATGCCCTGTCTAGGAATGACGCTTGGTTTAGAGCTAAACGAAATAATTCTTTGTACTTGTTCAAATGATGATGTAATACTTCTGAAAACAATTTTTTAGAGTAGAGGTACGACTTTGTAAAAGTGAATTTATGGATAGATATGTGGAGAACGAAATTAACATACGAGGATAACAAACATAAATTTTGGTTTTTTTCGCAAGTGTTTACTTTTTAATACTTTAAAATTAGAGAATCGCATTTGTAGAGAATATTCATCATTGAACGATACTTACCGTAGAACCAATGAAACCGGGCAGTAAATACTAAAGTACATTCGTGATTCAACGCGAAATTGAATATTTCCTCGATTTGATTGACTCGAGAATTCATAGATTACAATTCAAAACACTAGAATATTTATCTACATCTCAGTCACTAGTAATTAGTGGATTTCTATTTAGTCAGATTACTGTCGATAGTTATCACTATATTAAAAAAAACATGTGCATCACTGAAAGAGATTTACTAGCTAAGCGACTCAGAACGAAGACCAAAGATTTTTGGTTCGAGAACAATGTAGGTTTGAGAATATGTACTACTAATAGTTCTAAACAAGCATAAAGCAGTAATTAATTAGTTCCTGGCATTTAAATGCTGTTTTTACCCCTGATCCGTGTGTGATGAAAGCAATTCTCTAATTGCATGAGTCTTAAAAACACTCAATTGAAGTAGTGAAAATGTTTTTCTTGTGAGGTATCTAGGAAGGGGATTGAAATACAATATGAATAGGTCCCTTCAAAACTTAAAACAAATAAAGTGTCATGTATTCAACTTCTTTTTACTACAAATTGTATAAATCGACTACATATCATAACGTTCATATAAGGGTTAAGTTTGCTGGTTCACTGATAGTTTGGTCGAAAGAAGTGTGTATTCACAGACACAAACCATAATAGTTTTGTTTACCTTCATGAATTTTTCTTATGCTGGATAGAAATTATGAGAAATACACTTTTGGTTTTAGATTAGGTGATAATCACTAGTCCCTCATACACATTATCATGAGTGCCTGAAACCCGGATGGATCAATCTGAACTCAGCTGTTTATGTGGGAGCACACGACAAATGATTTAAACATGTTGGTGATGTAAGTCCTTCTTCCAAAGTTGTGACTAATTATTACAAGCACTAATCAAACACTTGCTCGTCCTACATTATTCTAGCCAATTCAGACTGGAATAATTTGATTAATCGACCAATATAATTTACCTACCAGCTAAGACGAATACTGAATAGTAAAAATAAGATTACAGTACTACTACTAGTCGTCAGATCACTTAGTTCAGCTGCCAAAACAGATACGATACAAGTGATTTAGAGATGAATCAATTCAATTTATGTAAACTCTGAGTCAACTCGTTTTTCAACGGTATACGGAAAAACTTAAAACTAAATAAAGAGACTGATCTCAATTACAGAAGAAAAAATTACTAAGGATCAGGTAAAAAGTTTAAGAAACAGATCCCTTTAAAAGTAGATGTTTACTTACCTTCTTTTGTTTTGCGACCTTCACATATTCTTAAAACAAAATTGAAAAAATGTGGTTACCAGATAGAAAATGAGTGTTTTTAGAGAAAACATACTATATGGATCAACAAGAAATTTTAAGTACTAGCACACTGGCAAAAGATAAACAGCTACGAAATTCGAAGGATCCTGGTTAGTTATAGCAAAGTAAGATGGGGATTGATGTAGGCTATGATGATCGATTCTGAGACATGTTACTTCACTTTACCAACAAATTTATAATGTCATCGGCAGCGATGGCAGAGTGATGTTGATTCACTTACCTTTAAATAATCAGGTTTTTCAAGTCCGAATTTTAATCTTGCCTAATTTGGTTTGGGCAGCCGGGTAGTGCGTCACCATCCATCTATATATAAGTTTGCGATACGAAATTAAAACACTATCGAAATCCGATTAAAGAAGTACAGTTGACTATACAGTTTAAACTCATGTCTGTTAAATTCGTGGATTGAATAATGGAAATCATAACCCGTCTCATCCCTACTCTTCAATTTGGCACATGTAACAGATGTTTCAAATGGCTTAGTCATAGTAGACTGACAGTCTATGTGATTCATTATCTTCACTTAGCACTTCACGTCAGATATAATTTTTTTATTCAGGAGGAGGCCACACCCGGAGCCTTCGACATAAAGGTTTAATCCACAAGGCAGTGGAGCAAGGTTAGGAGATGCAGTCCCATGATAGAGGGCGACCAACAATTGGTTCATACGCCATCTGTTCCCTCAGGATACCGTAGCCCATGTGCACCATTGGTTTGGAATCAGGATTTTCCAACTCCTCTAGGTGGATCCTCAATATCCACCAATTCAGTTAAAGTGTCAGACATTCGCTGTTCGTCCTCTCAATTTCGTAAACAACAATAATGCCTTGATAAGGTAGTGAGTAGGACATCCCTGGTAGTGGCTGATACGCGTGGCCACGTGAGAACATTTCGAGAGGGACAAATTCGTAAAAATTCAAGCGAAAATGCATGGATTAGATCAAGTATTTTTTAAAACTCTTCAGTACAAAGTACTGGGCTTTTCTTTACTACGTTTTATTACTAAACAGAACCGATGAGTAGATTTCTAGAATAACTAATGATAAATAACAATCTACTTCAAATTATAAAAAGAACTTACAACTTTAGATCAGCTTCAAATTCCGATCGTAAATTAGGTTTAGACATTTCAAAACCCATGGAATCATAACCTTGAAACGGAAAAAACTTCATAATATTAAAGTTCAATGCACAAATACTACAATCTTGACGAGAAATGACCTTATGATTAGCATTGTAAACACTATGTATGAATGGATGATAGAATAATTGTTTATATAAAAATCCGAGGAAGGATTATTCACTCATGCTGGCGACCCCTAACTATTAGTCCAATCTTAAGTTTATTATTCAAAACACTATTTCAACATGGTCGATATTTTAGCTAGAAGAGGAAATCACTACTTATCAAGTACATAATGCTTTGCCAGATTAAAATCCAATCAAATATATTGGATTACTCTACAGAATTGTTATAAGATGATTTTGATGTCTATTGATTGTACTTGTGCAAAAATTAATCGTTAGTGGGGAAAAATCCTTTTTCATGACATTCCTTGACTTTATTCTCAAAATGCAACACAAACAAATTCCATAAAAGACCATAGACAAACCTTCCACTAATCCCATTCCTAATTGACCTGGAACAAGAAATTTGTTTTGCTCTAAACCGACATAGAGTCTTTGTTTAATGGTTTCAATATGTTCAGCATGTGTAGCGTCTGTGCCGATCCCATGACGATCCATAAGAGAGATAAGATCAGCTTCTGTAAGCAAAGGTGGTGGACATGTTTGACCAGTAAGTACCTAAGTGGAAGATTAAGTAATGCATAGTTTAAAAAAATATAGATTTTATTATTTAAACACGAAACATCTCTTTTTTATGCAGTTCAAAATTGGATTGAGACAATAATATACGGACTTATAAAATATCGTATGCTTACTAGTGACTAAATTTGAGACAGATTCTGAAAGTCCTATAGTCTAACGCTGTAGACGGAGAAGTTTAACAGGGCTGAAAGAGACATACATTGCTGATAGCATTGAACGATTACTGAGCAATGTCGCAAACTAAATGGAGTTGGAAATATAAACCGGTGATCTGAAGATGTGTTTATCGACAAATTTGGAGGTTCTGTTTGATCGCTAGTAGCATCAACGAATGTGTACTTCTGAAGGACCCCGAATTACAATAGGACAGCCGTTTAGTCTTCTCAGTGGTTCTCTGAATTTCAGTCTGTGACAGATAATACCTTGTACTCCTAAATTAACTCAAGAGGGCATTGACATTTATTATTCGAATGATATAATAAAGTTATAATTGTAAAAAGTAAACAAAACATAACCGGATGATGGGCAACACCAATTTAACTATAATGTATGTCAAAAAATTAATCTATGGAATATTAAAACTTCAAACCGTGATTTGAATATGTTATATCTAGAGCCTTGATTCTTAATATGCCGCGAACTACTCGACTACTTGAACGATAGAACCCGCAACATCGCAAAAGAGAAAAGACAAAGACTGGTAAGGAGGAAGTTTATTCCCCAAATCAGTGTCAAAATATAGCACAGAAATCTCGTGTATTTATAGATTTTTGGCTGAATGTAAATCATCATTTAGGTCAACCAATAGACGCATAGGGGTCATGCTAATCCATCCAATGGGGAAGCTACACGTCGACATTCTAGAACATTCCCTTAGCAGTGATTGGATGGAATGTCTGTGGCTCTTCCTGGGCTTCTTAAGGCTTCCTAGAGTCTACCGACGAGCCGTCCTTACAGAATAAACCTATCTAAAGCTGAAGCTAAGAAAGTCTAGATATTTTAAATTAATTGAATAACGTTTGAAAACCCGATATAGAATGATGATGACAATTGGTGAATGGTTGCTCAACTTCGTGGATCAGTTGAAGTTAGACATTAACACCGTTGGGTGCCAGCTCAGTGGTCTATCGGTTAAGGGCTTCGGCTCGAGACTGGTAGGTTCTGGGTTCGAATCTCGCTCGCGAGAGCAGGTTCGTGGATGCGCACTGCTGAGGAGTCCCATAATAGGACGAAACGGCCGTCCAGTGTTTCCAGGTTTTCCATGGTGGTCTAGTTTCAATTGACTCATGCTTTCAACTACGATATAGAATTGACTGTTGATGATAATAAACAGAGCAGTAAAAATATTCAAGATCAAATTTCTGTCTACAACTAGTTAGATTGGTGAACAATTCCAATAATTCGTGACTACTGATCAGCTACCAAAGGGTACTCACAATTATACATTCACATTATTAGACATTAAATTCTCCTACCAACGGACATTTAGTTACTGCCGGGATCCTTACATCAGACTGCCAACTGTTGTGATAATATTTGAAAGGATTAAAGTTCTGAGATGGATTGTTGGCTAAAGTTATTATCCTTTGTTAGAAAGAACAGTACAAAAAACGACACGGTTGAAAATCGATCGACCAAAAAAGTACGTGGCTGATGATTCCCGAAATATTACCTAATCATTTCGTAATTATATACAGTTGTTTCATGACTATCCCTTACATAAGAAATTTGTTACCAGTAATTACAACAATAAAAATGCTTCCGACAAAATATTGTAATAATAATGATGACTGTAAGACAGCTGGTCTCAAAGATGGTTGTTTATAACATCGATTACTCAATGAAAACAATCTGACAACACCACAGAATATGGAAAGATAAAATCACAAGACCAAAGTAAATTTTCTTGAAAATGAAAGGATAATTTGTTGACGATTCCTAGTACACTTAGTATTAAATTATGACTATTACTATCGATAGTAGTAAAAATATCAAGATTTTGACAGCAGTCTATGGGAAAAAATGACGTTAAATAAACAACTTACTTGGATATTATCAGGTAAAATCCATTCACCTAATTGAAAAACAGGCATATCTTTTTCAGCCCACCGATCATAGATGTAAACTTCTAAATAGTTCAGAGCCAAAATCATAAGACCTTTGGATTCAAATAATTCCCCATCTTCTGAAGTAAGTAAATTAGCCGTACTTATACTTGAATTAAATGTCCTTGGAAGAGTAGGTTTACCAATACACAAACGAACTATGGTTTCAGCACCCTCTGCATCAGTTGAAAGGCAAGCTAGAAAATGCCTAGTCACCAATTCATATAGACGTGCTTCATCACCCTAAAGCGTAACAGATACAAACAAATAAGGGTTACTGTACAATTAGAAAGAACAATAATGTTTCCGATTGTTTGTATTTCTAAAATGATATCACATTATGGTTTTCAAAAAAGTTAAACAACCCAGTCATTGGGTAGAACTGTTATGCATCAAATCACTGTACACTGAACCTTATATAACTAGGCTATCGGCATAAGAATACTGACGATTACATCTTCATCATGGTAACCTAACAAGTTTGACTGTACACAGAACGCTCTTATCCACTCCATACCATAACCAAAAATTATGCCGCTAAATAAAAATAAATTCAAATTACAATCCAATATAGGATAAAGATTTGGAACTGAAAACACAAACGTATATCAACAACTGGAAATCGGAAAAAATATGATGTAACAATCTATTTACCTACTCGTAGGAGAAAAAGTATGAAAGACAAATCAGTATACAGAAAAACATTTGACGTGCTAGCGTTTAACCCTAATTTTAGTTACACTCTAACAACTCCTCGCTTAAATCCGTATGATCTCTTTGATAAACCTTCTGAACAAGAGTCTTTTCACGATTAACGGAGGCTGGGAAAAGAGAGAGCAACCAGAGTTTGATACTGTGGAAATCGAGGTCGTCTAAATGAGACAGTTGCTAAAACGTACTTCATGATTTTTTGAACGGTTTATGAGATTGGTCATAACTTGTGGAGATAAAAACTAAGGGTAAGAGTAGTTTTTGAAACGTCATGTTTTGATTGAAATTTCATTCCTTGATTTGAACATTACAATTGTAGTTTTTCCTATTACAGAAAACATTTGTGTAAAAGATGTTTATCATGTGCGACAAACGGATAAATATTTTTCTAAATTCGTATGAAAGTCTACTATGAGAACAATTAAACAATGCATTGATGAATATTGTTATTAAAAAATAGCTAAACGACAGTATACCTGAAGTGAATCGCCCACTTTTAACGGGTGTATAGGTGGATGAGCCTTATCACTTGACTTTCCGTTCTTAGGATTAGGACCACGCTCAAGGATTCTGGTAGCAAAATCTTGATTAAATAACGAATTAAAAGAAAAAGAGAGGAATCATTAGTTTATGAGAGAAAAATACCAATAATAACACACGATAAGCTCGTAGATTGCTCATGTATAGTTTTCTGAATGACCAATGAACTCAGATAAATTTTTAAATTATAATTAGTGCAGCTCATTGACCAAGAACAGGTCTTCATGTAGTCAGTTTTCAGTCATATAATTTGAGTAAGGAGTAACTCTATACTACTCACCTAGTCAAACTGAAGTCGGTAGAGTGGGTTTAAAATTGGTGATCGATTAGTTGGAAGCAATATGTTTGAGCAACTAAGTAACCACTTTAACTCACATGTGAACGGTGAAAACAGTTTTAGCTAATTTTTGTTTTAGATTTAACGAAGAGAATTATATAGACTAATTGACGTGTGACAGAGAGAGACTAATTGACTGTTTTAGAAAGCAATTACAATCAATTCCGTCTTATAAATTCGAAGTCAGTTTACATCAAAACGAAATAATTGAAAAGTGGTGAATAGTGTGAGATCTCATAGATTTTGTTTTTATGAGAAACATGGTTATAAGCTAACTGAAAATTGTAGGCTAATGACTGTTAACGTTTAAAACAACAATATTAATATTTAGTGAGATCAAGATATTGCTAATAAAGTCTTCTACGCTGTCACTGAATCTAAGTGATATACTAATTGACTGAATGACGTACCACTTCATTTGCATTAGGAAAAAATGCTGGTAATATATGACATTCGAAATCATTCATGAATTTGGTGAAAAATAGTAGATTCAAGACAATGTTCGTTATAAGTTAACCATACTAGTGAAATGTAGCTACTCTCTCAACAAGGATAAAGCTAAGCATTTCCAAATTTCGTAACTAATTGTTATAAGAGCTTAATCCCAAGTACTTTTTAATGTCAATCACATAATTCTTTTACAAAACTTACCAGACCATCGAGAATCATTTATTTGAACGTGCACTAGGCTTTTAAGATCCAAATCCGGGGGGAATATTTTGGTTTCTGTACGAGGATATGAAATAAAGCCTTTGTTATAAAGACGCTCAGCCAACTGCATTGCATATTTAGCTCCCATTTGTAACTTGCGAGAGGCCAATTTCTCTAATTCCTTCGTAGTAAATGAAACAAATAAAATACGTTTCTGAGCAGAAAACGATTCATTAAAATCCAAGTGCTTAAAAATGGTAACTAATATTCTGATGAAACATAAACCACCAACACTCTTAGTTTAAAGAACATATATGGTGGAACATTCCCATTAAACGCTACCTATTCTCGACAGACACCTGGATCTTAAGAAGCGATCAATGTAAAAATAAACTACTAAAATATGAGTGGTATTAATTTTATAGTAACTTCAGTTATATTTTGCTTTATCTTATTAGTTTCTAACGAATGAACTACTTTACCACCCCCCATATACACATAATAAGCTTCACCATCTATGACCATTGGTATATTATACGCAATCATCTGGTAGATTGATCGATTCTGTAACTTACCACTTTTTAGTTGGATTGAATTTCCTTTTGGAGAACCACCACCAAGCTTGAAAGGATTTTCAGCCAGCAAGAATTCCAGGACACCATAGTATTTTTATTATTAGCTTTATTCAATATTACATTTTTGGTATAATATAGAATTGTCAGCACAAAGTATTTCAACAAGTTTCTGTTTCTTACTTCTAGGTCGATAAATACTGAGTGGTCGCCAGTTAGAAGTTCAGTAAGTCGATATCTAAATAATGTACATTCTCTTCGCTGCATATTGCCAGCAACCACGATATCTCAGATTGGGCCTTTTGTAACTTGTACAACGAAAGGTTGTACACTTATCAGAAAGGCACCTGAATAGGTTATGCGATTAACAGGCATAATGATGTATTAGAACAAACAAAAATAAATAAATTGTCGAAATATCTAGATGGCAGGAACAGGTAGACTCGATGTTTAAGCAGGCCGCCAAAGTCCGGCACAGCGAACAGATGGTGTTGGATAGCAGTTTAGTTCATTTAGAAAGAATAAATCCAAACGTTTGGAATGATGAACCATAAAGAAGAGAATTGTATACCTTTCAAATGTTCATCATTTGTTTCAAATAAATTGAGCATTAGGTAAAATATTAATAATAAATATATTTTTATGATATCCCAATGAGTAGAAAATCGTATTTCTGACGTTTAAGAACTTAATGTAAGTCACTTTTTTTACAGTAAATATAAAAATGAAGAAATGATGTACATGTGGGGGTATCGCAGGAAAGAAAGGGTCAATTATTGCTGCGATATCTGTGAACGATTGTACAGTAAATCACCCGTTCAATCGCATTCGAGCTTTCCCGGTAGCTGTTTACGATTTTTAACAAGTGTTCTGTAACGATTCGATAATCTAAGAAACTAAACTGTTTAAAAAATGCCAGTGAGTGAAAAATTTGAATGCTGATCTGAGAAAACTTTCTTATTGACAAGATTTATTATCCACTGTTAAAGACTGGATAGTGTTTGGAAAGCCAGAAGTAAGACCCTAATATCCTCGAGCCACAGTCCTGTGTCGATTTCACATCAGACACCAGATTATTAACAAAATGAAGCCCATCGATGAACGCTTCTCCTACTGGTCACAGATAAACCCGCTTGTCGTACATTTTGTTACCAATGTTTTTCACCGTCAGTAAGTGGTAGGACCGAAACACTTCGGACGCCTGAGCTGGATTTAAAACCGAGATGATGCCAACAGAAGACGATGCAATGAAAGATGAACCAGAAAGAGGTCCGCTACTAATAAATTGGAATAGGTCGTGGAAATATCATATCCCCGAAAAAAACGTTTACAAACTCCCTTTTCATTTCTAAATCTTAAATCTAAATTTTCGAGCCGAATTTCCTTACGAAAACCATCCTTTACCTTTACTGAAATAACGTCTGTTATTTTTGCATCGACCATCCCTTGTTATACAACACTGAATTTTAATTTATCTTCAAGATTATTGTGTACGTATTTATGGGCATCGACTGCTTGTTCAAATGATTGTTCTATGGTCTTGACCAAATTAATCCTCATTCCAAGGTTTGTCTTTTGAAATAGACAGGGCTAAGACGGAAAGAGCTGTGGTATTAAGATATAGGCATCTAATCTAGGAGTAACTGTCGTTAGTTCAGAATATATAATCATGAGAATATACTTAAAGGAAAAGAAGTGAAAAGGATGTATGTATGAAGAAATACCGAAGCTCAGAAAATAGAGAATGAAGGGTGAACGCATGTTTGGCAATAACAATGATTTTGAGCAACATCAACCATCACCAACCATTTAGTTACGATAATCATGAGAACTCCAATCAAATACTTTGTACACACCAACATAACTCCATCTAAAAGTCATTGACTTCGTGGCTTGACGCTACGTTTTGGTTTGGGCGCCCCTATCTTTTTCCAACCTACTTCTACACGTGAAAACATTCCACGTCGAAGTAGGAGGCGGTTAGACATAAGCAATATAGGTTTCAACCGTCCCAGTCAATGAAAAACCACTGCTCCATGAATCAACTTTTTCATCTTTAGTACTCCAGATCTAACCGCAATATTATTTACTCAGTGGTCCTAACATACACGTGTAATACTTCCAAGACACTTAAAAAGTTATATGAAGAGTGTGATTTCTTAAATGATATCTATGACGAAACTAAATGAAATTTAAGAGTAAAAAGTATTGACAAACACCACTTGAGGTTTAACAGTTCCAATGACAGATCCTTATAAGTTCTGGCTTGACTAATAACTTTCAAGTAAAGACTCTTTGCAAGATTTATGTACCCCAGTACTTAGATTAGTGCAGAGAAAATGACATTAAACTCACTACTGTATCCAAAGCAGTTGGACGCCATTTGGTTTTCGGACGCTTAATAACTTCTACAATTTGACCATAACGATTCTGGTTGAAAAATTAAAAAAACCACACAATGAACAATAAAATGTTTTGGAATCTGTTAAAAATGTCGAAATATTGGTGGTCTCAGTACAATCTTAACTACCCCTATACGCAACCTTTGTAAATGACAAATCCCTTAATTAAAGAAACCCTAAAAGATTAGTTAGTTTGGATGGAAAGGCGCGCCTTTTCATCTAGACAATGAAATTAAGACTGACCTAAAATTTTGCTAGGAATAGGAATCTGCACGACACACACAACAATAAACCTACAACAGTTGCATCGCCCATTTTTATTCTGTTAAAATGTGAAAAAACGTTGAAGAACTATAAAGTTATGGTTTTATTACTTAATTATTGTTCAACAGATTATAGTCTCTGATTGAATTATACTTCGAACTATTAAAATGTTATACCGAAACCAGTAGGCCAAAAGTTGAAATTCCATTTTATAGATTTTACAAGAACTCAATTAGGAGCTAACTTAATAGTTCTAGAAATACTTGAGATTGAGTATACAGAAGACATCAAATACAAAGTATATTTGTTAGAAACCTGGTTCGATAATTTAAAAACCTGACAAATATACACATGTTGTTTAAAGAACAACAATGCTACACAGTTAACCGACACAGCAAGTACGGTAATGTCTAGACCTGTAACCTAATAGCGGAGTCAAGAACACGGAGAGGTAGTTCTGCACTAATATAGTATAACTTTTAATAACCTTTTAAGTTATATTTTTGTAGAGTAAGATGATTGATGAGTGAATGTATCTACTTAAATAACGGAAGCTAACTAAGTTGAGTTTCTGCTTTTACTCGGTGCAGATGCACTCACTTTTTGTCTGTCCTCAGATTTGAGTTTTAAAAATACCTTATGCTTGTTACTTAATGAATTCATTCCTGATTTTCAAAGTCTTTTCCGATTTTTTTTTACTATTAGTGATACTGTTACTACTTCTACTAATAAAGAATTTGTCTTGATAATTTCATAATGCAATACTGATATGATATGGCAAGTTGCATCGATGAGGATAAATATAAAACAGCATGTTACTTATGAGTGACCGACTGACAAAGTATAAGTTCAGATGAAACAACATATTACGTCTGATCAGTGCATGAATCGAATAAGTAATAAACATAAACGGTTAACAAGAGTTCTGTACGATGAAGGGTGACCTTCATAGTAGAAAATCATTTGTTTAAATAAAACTTTGTTTAGGAAAACCCACGATAATCTATATAAAAAGTCATTATGTACCATTGACATACTTGATTTAAATGTTCATAGTATGCTCTGCAACAATCTTGATCGAAAAGACGTCCACTAATGTAAAAGGAGGGGAAACCAAAATATTAGTCACAAATACAGTGACAAGTACTATTTAATAAAACCTAATTGAAAGACACTATTCAACGTACCGTTGCCACTGAAATTCAGTTGTTTTCTCGTCGCGTGACACAGTGACTAAAATTACAGAATGAAAAAAAAAAAAAATATGGATGAACTTAGGCCGAACAACGATCGTCATTCAAAGGTTATGAACCTAACTCAAGTAACAAAACCGTAATAGTGATGAATTGAACAACCACAAACATGGCCGTAGAAGGGCATTTGCGGGCAATCCTTTATAAACCATTGACATATAGTAAATTTAGAGATGGTACATACTGTCGAAAGCAAATAGAAATGAAACGTGTCATAATATTTCTATGATGAATGTACTAAATCATATTGGCATGAAATATACCACTACATGGTCGCCATAATTTGTAAAAGAGGCATCATTATAGTCCTGTATTTTGGTACTATTGACTAAAAATGTAATTTAAAATTTTCGATTTCACTCTATCTGGGAGTAATGGCTGAAATTCATGTTCCATGAAGTCTCAAATTTAGTATTAGCATTACGGTTAGAAGAAATACGCTTAGGGCTCGAACATTTGATAGATCTGTTAATGTAACTTATTATCGAAGTACATGTTCATGTACTAGTTTTTGCATCAGGGCTAATGATAATATCGGCTATCCAAATCGAAGTAGCATTTGAACTTGTGAACTAGTGGTTACAAATCAAATGCTTTAGCTTCGAAGGATGCGAATATTTCTGAAGGTCTGTTGGTTTATGTATTGCTGGTTTAGAATATTGTTTGAATAAACTAACTGGCCATAACAAGATTGACAGGAAAACCACATGTTAGCATGTAGTATCGCATGGTATGCCAAGCCCATATACCTTATTCTAGCTTCTGGCCAAGCCAATTCGCCTGTCCATTAGAGTCATGTTTTCACCTTGTTAATTATCCACTTATTAACTCTGACCACTTTTAAATGAGCGTTGGTGTGTGGGCACCTTTCTTATCCTATTTATCACATGTCTGTCATTTATTCTTGTCCGACTATAAATATTGATTAAAGCTTGTTTAAAATGAGTTGGCTTATCCGCCATCTCCACTGCGCGTTATTTTTGTTTCGCTTGCTGATATTTACTCATGTGCTTATAATTTTCTGGCCTGCGTTATTTGACAATAAACTGCAGTTGCTGCTTTCCTTGTCTTCTGATTTTACGCACCGTTAAGATTGGTATTATAACGGTTATCAGGGTGAACAATTTGCGAAGCACGACACTACAAGCAGACTCTACATTCCACGTTGACACTAAAAATATATAGTACTTGACTAATGACATATGTAACACCTCATTTTCGAGTGCGCCACCATTTTAAAAATCACATAAACCTAAGATAGTGTGGTGTGTACTGTGGAGTAGAAACATAAGACTATCTAGGTAAATAATTTTAACATACGACACAACAGTGGTGGATATGTTAAATAGCTTTTACAGATGTTGATCACAATCTACTAAATCTATATTATTACTGTCACATCTATAAAGACTTACGTCCTGTCAAATATAACTACGTAAATTTAATAGTAACTTACCCACAATACGCCAAAATGGTTCAGAAACAAACTGATCAACCTCTCGAAAGCGTTCTACAACAAAACCAAGAGTTGGAAACTGACAAGATCCATACGAGATCAACTGGTCACTAAGAGCTTGGGGGAAAACTCGCCTCAACCGCAAAGTCTGGAAGCGTGTGAAGGCAGCCCCAATACGTAAATCTAGCTCCTGGCGCACGTCAACAGCTGTGCTGGCATTATAATCAGGAATTGTAAGCCGATCTACGGCACGATGCACAGCTCTAAAACAAAAATTCAAATCACAATCTTTTATGGAGAAAATGGAGAGCTCTCAAACAGATAATGCGAACAATCCATTGGAGAAACATTACGTTAAGATAGGATTCACACTTAAAGTGTTCCGCTTATCGTTCTAAACGTCTGAACTGAGAGGAGATAAGAGTGCCGTCTTTTGCTGAGATTGTCTCACACTTGACTTTTTAATTCCGGTTTCTTTTATTAGCCTGAAAAGTTGTCTGGTGTTACCTACAGCCACTTCCTTCTCCATCTCTTTTGCTTTCCTTGCCTACCACTGCCCAAGATTGTTCCATAGGCTTCTGATTAACCTAGATCTAATTTGTTTTCGTTCATCATCGTGTTCGGAGCCAGTTGGGATGAGTTTACGCGAGTCTACAAGTGCAATATACGTAGCGGAAATCCACTGGTTTTTTGTAACTCTTTGGTTCAAATCACTGATAGATGTCGTTCCTGTTCCCACAGCTGTTCGTATATCTTTCCAAGCAACATCTGGGTCAGCCCCATTTCAAGAACTGCCTAAGTGTGACTCTGTTGTTCCATACACGCTCATAGGTCACTAGGACTAACACTAACCCAACTTTTTCTTTACGTACCTCTAGAAAACCCTTTCCACTGTGTGGGCAACTGATAATTGATAACCGCCCTCATACCTCTAATAAGATGTAAGATGTATCTTGCTTTTTTATAAAAACTTACCAATTCCTTTAACACACTCCAGGCATGAGAACTAGTGATAACACCTGGATGGTCAAACCGAAGTAGGTTGAGCAGGTTCTGAGTCTGGGAATTAATGGTCGAATGTCAAACGCACTGACCACTAAGGCACAGCTACATAGTAGTAAAAAGTAACATTAGAAAATCTTGTCCAAGAATGAGTGAATTGGCAGAAAAGTTGCTAGAAAATAATTTTGAAGCGCACAATTTAGAGGGTCGAGAGTGCAATCATCCACATCACTGAGACCGATTTCGAGACACGTTACACAATATCCCCAACCACGATAATCGCAAGGACCCTAACCAGGTAACACGCACCTGGCCGTCGCTACTGTCTCGACATGTTGATCGGGCTTGCCTATTGTGATGGACCAATCGAGCTATACTGGCTGGAACAATCGTTTCTCAATGTCCTACCATGCCAGATAGGTCGGCTGAAGAACGGCAACACTAAAAGCAGAAAACCCAAAGTCTGAGAGCGAAGTCGTACTGCTGACTATACAGAGGTGTGATGGCAGTAAGTTGTTTCCTTCAGACAACTATCATAACAGCGATGCTGCCTTCCCACAAGGAAGGATGGGATTATAAAAGGTCAACCCTAAAAATGCACACCTTGCTTTACCCCATGGATTTCCGTTTCCGGCGGTAAGGTCTCGACAAGTATGGAGCTAACACAGAAAATACTCAAAAAAGTCGTGTGTGACCGACCTCAAGCAGTTGTCCCTTGGGCACTGCGGTCACGCTCTCAGGTCACTAAGACCACTTCTAACCCAATTTCCTTTTCAAGTCTTTAAATAACGTGAATGTGAAGCCTAGTAATACTCCTTAGTTGTCCAAACTACAGAAGGTGGATCGGAATTCGAACGTGGGACATAGTGGCTGGAAGTCGAATCCCTTTAGCCACTGAACCAGTTTTGAATTAGGAACAATAGGTTTCAGTGTACACAAAGCATACTGTTGTCTTTGAACCTAGCACACAACAACGGCGTCATGTGAGTTACCACAAACATTACTGAATAACCTCTTATAACCTATTTTGTAGTGAGTGGATATAAAAAATTCAACTTGATGACAGGCAGACGTGCTAATAGCATGCTAAGTTACTAATCAAAATTTAAGGAACCAACTACAAGATAATGCCAACAAACAATCGACTTACGCAGGTGTAATTTCAGAAAACCGAGCACGGAGAATTTCAATGTTTGGTTTGACTGTAATAAATATCATTCGATTGACGCCTACAAGAACAAAGACCTACCTTCTCTACAAACATCAATTACTTCGACGCCAATGTTTTCACCCTCACGATCGCAATCAGTCCATATAATTAACTTTTGACAGCTTCGTACTTCACGCTGTAACGTTTGCTAAGAAGTCAAGAATAGTTGCTTTTATAAACTTGAATACTATCATATATATATATATATATATATATATATATATATATATATATATATATATATATATATATATATATATATATATATAAAGTGTTTAAGAGAATAAGTGCGGGAAAAACTGTTGTATGAACGGTGCACTTGATGCTATATCTGTAATCAGTCCAACTGAATTATATATATATATATATATATATATATATATATATATATCTTGATCGTTCATATCACGTAAACACTGCCGTTTTAGACTTTGATTGAAATAACGCTTGGCATTTTATGGCCTTTATTTAATATTGACTGCCACAGCTATCATAAACTATGAAAATCTGAGGACGTATTAATCGGGAAATTCTTTTGAACAAAATCTAGTTAACCTGCTTAAGATTGCCCTAGTGTAACGTGTGGAAGAAACACCTAGATAAGACCCGGACTCTGAAGCAATACTAGATTGAATACCGATTCATTACCAGGGTGATGCGACACACTTTGACTATATGCTAATCTCAGGCAGGCGACCAGGCCGTTTCGGTTTTCGGAGCGATATTAGCAGTATTGTGTCAGCTCATGAAGTGTTAGAACCTCCCACCCAAAACCTAGAGCCTAATGCCACGTATATGTTGGGACCTTTTAGAGCTTGCATAGAATTTCTTTTCACATTAGCTTCAGTACTTCATTTAGGTACCCGGTCACTGCCTGGATGGGTTTTTAAGAGACTCAGGAAAAGGCAAATGAACTGATTCCTAGAATCGCGACGACATTATTTTTTTTTTACTTTCGAAAAGAGAATCCACTTGGATATCCCGAAAAGTTCACAGGGCCAGAATCAATTGCTTGTCAACTGTCTAAAAACTTTCCCAGCCAATCAGTGAAAATCCTTGTCTTAATAAGCGGTTGGAGCATCAGTGCGTTCAGTCGAATGTTGAGTCAACGAGGAGGCCTCTATTACCGGGATTAACACAGGCCACTAAAATTCCTGTCGTTCCTAAACTAAACCTGATAGTAAGAAATGTCGAATCGGAATGAGTGATACACCACGTAAACGGTATTAAAGCTAGTTAACTGAACACATAATGAACATAATGACAGTTATGAAATAAATTGCTTACCAAATATAATATACACATGTTAGGTTTGTTGTTAAGCATTCAACTGAGGTAAAACGTTACATATTATAAGTAAACCTTAATTATACGTAAGTTGGTAGAATTAAAGTTCAAAAGGATATTATTTTAAGGTGTTTATAAATGGAGATCAAATTCAAGGCTTCAAAGTCGCTGTTTTTCCTCTCCCTACAATAAACTGTCTTCAATTCAGACATCGCGACATTGGAAGAATATTGTCGTGATTATTTTGAAATAACATGACACATAATATAGGTACTACTGTCTATTCCACCCGAAGACAACCATGAGTGTAAATAAAATCCAAAAATGAATGTTAATTCATAAATATGCTTTAACTATATACACAAATACATGAACATTCAATAGGATCCCTATGATACTGACCAACTAACCTTGATTGGCTCGTAATCTTTGAGAACTTGTTTAACAATTGGTGCGTCAAAGAGCACCATCGGGTTACAAGAATGCCTTATGAAGTATAATAAAATCAAACACGAAACTACCATGATTTGTAATTTGGGAGGAAATCATAATTAGTCAGGTGGCCTGACACAGACGTCATTATCATCATAACATTTTGGCCGTTGAGATTCATGGCGAACTCGTATATTTTGTTGAACTTCGATATTCCTTCTCTCTAATAGACTGATATTCCTATGATATTGATAAAATACCCTATGGTATCCTCCGCGGCTCAGGATTTCCGAAATATTCTTAGCGGCATCATTTTTCTCAGCAACATTCAGAATCTTCATCGTGAATCTACGAACGCCGGACGCTGTGGGGAAATCACTGATAATCAACAGCAATCGCAGGCACTTGGAAATCATCAGCGCTTTACTTTAGTTTGCCGCTGATGTTCATTGTTCAATACTTTTGCAATGACCAAACCAAATGATAGTAAATCGAATAATGTCCTTTATCTTAAGAAGCTGATCTTTTTGATAGTAGCGAATGACCAGTCCATTTAGATATGGAGTTGGAGACCTTAGGCCGAAAATAGATACTTTATTAAATCAATTAGATATTATGGTATCACGGGTATGCTGGGCTTGACAACTCTGTTGTATAAAAGGCTTTTTTCATTAAAGATCTCAAAGCCAGCTCGATTAGTTCTCGCAGCTGATGGAATTCGAAGTTAGGTTCGAGAGACTGTCAGTACGTCTAGAAGCTTATTAACTAAATTGACTATTTGTTGGGAGTGATGAGCAGCATGGAGTACCGAAAAATCATCTGGTACGAGTGATAAATCAGGCACTTTCACTCTTAGGTGTGTTTAGTAGACTCTATGAGGTCAGTATCGACTTTTAAGGCTAACAAAAGTATTTATATCATATATACAGCGTCTTGTACAATCAGTCATATTAGCTTCAGCTGGGAGTATGTCCACTCACGAGATGATTTTCAATGTCTAATACGTGGAAATTTTTTCAAGGATTTTTTTATTAATCCAGCTCACTATATCCTTAAATGGGTAGTGGCACCTTCAGGCGTGACCAGCCACAAGTTTTAACCAAATGAGTCTTCCGTTGACAAACAGTCTTCTGACAGTTTGCTATTGTAGACCATCAACGTTAATGTTTTCTGTCAGATGATTGAGGAGCCTACTAGAATTAGACGGAAATGATGAGATGAACCTAGTAACGTCGAGGACACATCTCGCGGTCACCAACTTAAGTGGATTGCCCCATAGACGTGTCAAAGGACTATAGATGCTCTGAAGACTGTACAACACAAAGGACGTTATTATGAAAACATATTGGTAAGAATGAGTACTATGAACTTAGCGAGACCACCACCGCATGCGCAAGTCCATGGTATACAGTTAACTGATGAGAGTTTGTTGTCCTTTGACAGGGATCGGTGACGTGTTCGATATTCAGTGACTCAACTGCCGGGTGAGTTGACTAGTGCTCAGTGACATTTCACTGCCCCTACACTTCGCTTAGTGACGTCTTATCTTCATCTCCTGATATGAGTAACCTTAGGTTGAGTGAATGAAACGTACAATGAAAGTTCGGTTTGTCGTATTCGTCTTCGGATTTTCAACTTATTAATAAATCTTCAAAAATAAAAGGACCAAAACGTAGGTAAAATGGAATATAACTTTGATTGCAAAAGCAGGCAAACTGTAAGTAAATAATGACATAAATGCGTATCCATATCAAACAACCGAAAAATTAAAAGAAAATCGTAATCATTTGATTTTTGTGAAAGGAAATAAATACATAAATATAAGTATGCTAAAAATACTTTCACTTTCCGATTCTTGATATTTGCAACATATCGTCATCCTACAAGCTATTGACTGATTGCTGGTAAGCGTTATTGAGCTAAATATATTCAATTTCTGAATGATGTTGAAGATTCCACGGGTATATTAGTTTGACAAAAGGTCAACAAGTAACACCTCCTATTATGAATTGTGCCCACCCAGTGAAAAAAAGTCAGAAGCGAGGAGGTTCGGAGATATTGATGTTGGTTTGTTCTCTGAGCTGGGTGGTTTGGTCGTGGAGCTTTCATAGTCCTTCTGAACGACATCATCAGCACAAACGTCGGGCAGAAGTGAAGTGTTTGAATTTCTCCACATGTGATTCACAGCTTGTTCTCTGAACCTCGATGTTGATTGGTTCTTATTGACCTTAAATCTGTCATTGTTTATTTCTTTGTTTTAGTTGTATCTCCTATTGGTTTGATTTTTGTTCCTATCATTTTTGTTCCTGCATAATTTTCTTGATTGGTTGATAGATTGGATTGATTTCAATATGTTTGTTTATTGCTGATTGACCTGAGTGCCAAGCTTCTAAAAATTCTCTGGTATTTTCGGAATTGCCTCTGTCCAAAATCTGCATATTTTCCCAGTCGAATGTATGTCCGTAGTTGTCCACGTGCATTGATATGAGTGAAGAAATGTCGTGACGTTTGACTGCTAATTGGTGTTCATGTAGGCGAAGGTGCAGGGGGCGTCCGCTTTGCCCAATATAGTGTTTGCTGCAGTTGGTACAATTTATCTTGTAGATGATGTTTGTTTTGTCCTCTTTTGCTATTTCATCTTTCGGTTTGCATAAGATTGAGTGGAGGGACTTTGTTGGTTTGTGGGTTACACATATTCCGAAGGTTTTCAGCAGCCTTGTTTTCGTTTCCGATATGCCCTTTATGTATGGTAGGGTGATCCTTTTGTTGATTTTCATACCTGATTTCGTTTCTGATGATGTGTGCGACTGGTATTTTTTGATGAAATTGATTGGATAGCCGTTCTTTTGAAGAATGGTTTTCAGGTGTTTTTCTTCATTATTTCGTGCTGTGATTGTATTGCAGTGTGTTCTCGCCCTCTTGAATAACGTTTGTACACAGTTGATTTTGTGAGTTTTTGGGTTGTTGCTATTGTAGTTGAGAATTTGATCGGTGTGGGTCGGCTTCCTGTACACTTGAGTCTCTAGTTTTCATGTGTCAGTTCTGGTGATTAATACATCTAAGAATGGTAACTTGTTGTCCGACTCTTGTTCCATTGTGAACTTGATGTCATTGAAGACGTTGTTGATCTGATTGTAGGTGTTTTCTAGTTCCTCCTTTTTGACGATGACGAATGTGTCGTCTACATAACGAATCCAAATTTTCGGTTTGATCACTGGTAGAATTATGGTTTCCAGTCGTTGCATTACTGCTTCCGCGATGAGTCCTGATATTGGTGATCCTATTGGTGTCCCTTTTGTTTGTTTGTAGATTTTGTTATTGAATTGGAAATATGTTGTTAGACATAGATTTATGAGTTCAAATAGGCTTTGACGTTGAAGTTTCGTGTATTTTGCGAGGTTTTCGTCGTTGTTTAGAAGCAAGGACAGGGTTTCTTTTGCTAAGTTTGGATCAATTGAAGTGAATAGTGCTGTTACATCGAAGGATATCATTAGTTCGTCGTCGTTGATTTGAATATTCCTAATCTGATCAAGGAATTGTGTGGCTGATTTGATGGAGTGGTTCGACGAATCTACTAAATGTTTCAGTATCCTTGAGATTTCTCTTGATAAATTGTACGTTGGTGTTCCTGGTAGTGCTACAATTGGACGTAGTGGGATGTTTGGTTTGTGTATCTTTGGTCTGCCGTAGAACCGAGGGAGTACTGGTCCATTATATTTCATTCTCCATTGATCTTGCTTCGTTATTTCTCCTGCTTTGACGAGTTTGTTTAAAGTTTTTGCAATGCGACTGTTTAGTTTTTTGACTGGATTTATGTCGATTGGTTTGTATGTATTTTTGTCTTCGAGTATTTCCTCGGCTTTCTTGATGTATTCTTTTTTGTCCATAATCACCGTGGTGCGACCTTTGTCTGCTGGAACGATGACAATATATTTTCTGGTTCTGAGTTTCTTCAAAGCTGTTTGTTTTGTGACGTCAGTTGGTTGTTGCCCTTCATCCGTTGAGTTAGTGGTACTATAGATTGTCTTATATCCTGTTGCGTTTCCTCACTTATTCCGGAAGTTTTGAGTGATGACTCCAGTGCTGCGTAGAATTCCAGTTTTGAGGCATCGCTTGTGTTGTAATTTAATCCTTTTCGGAGTAGCTGTTCTTCTGTGTTTGTTAGTGGTTGTTTAGATAGGTTGACCACGCTGTTGTTTTTGTTTTCTTATATAGTTGGATTTGAGATTTTGATTATTTTCTTTTTAAGGATGTTTCTTCTTTTTTCTCTGTGTCGTTTGCATAATGTTTCGATGGCTGTTGTCAGGGTTTCGAAGTGTTCTGGTGTGAGTGTCTGTTGTAGCTTCCTCTTTTGGTCCTCTATGATATGTTGGTATTTGCGGATCCTGTAATGTGCGTCCGTTATCATTAGATGAACCATTTTTCTTCCACTTTGCTCAGCTTCTTTCCATCCTAATGGGCAGTTGATTGGAGGTCTGTATCTTACACTTGTTGGCAGGACATGCTGGCGAATGCACTCGTGGAGAAAATATAGTTGTTCTCGAGTGGAAGCTTGCCTTTTGGCGAAATTCTCCCATTTTCGAACAACCAGAAGCGTACTACGCTCGTATGATTTTGAGATGGTGGAGAAGATTTGTAGCTCAGGTGGGTGATTTTGATGTTGGTTTGTTCTCTGAGCTGGGTGGTTTGGTCGTGGAGCTTTCATCGTCCTTCTGAACGACATCATCAGCACAAACTTCGGGTAAAAGTGAAGTGTTTGAATTTCTCCACATGTGATTCACAGCTTGTCCTCTGGTTCGGAGATATATTTGAGAGGCTATCAATATATCGAGAAACGACTGATGGAAATACATTAGGAAGTATCTGGTTCCTAAAACAATGCTAAAAGGGTGAAGATACGACTGGTACTCTGATTTTACAACCTGCTACCAGTGGCACATTCTAAATATGAAGCTTTCCCCCAACCGAATGAAACCAGAGGTCAGATGCGAAGAGGTAGGAAAGATATATTTGATACGTCATCAATATATCGCGAAGCGTTTATTCTAAGCTGACTAGTGAACGTAGGAGCTGTGTCCCACGCTGGTTCGAAACGTGATCTGTTACGGATGCATGACCGAAAGCCTTCAGTTAAACAAGTCCACTTAAACAACGTGGTCAGCATCCAACATCGAACACTTAATGAGCTATTGATTTTGGGGATTTATTTACTGCTACGAGGGCTTCACCAAACAAAACTACTCTCCAACATTAAGTCTGGTTCCTCATATCACAGAAGAGATTATATGGAGGCACCAACAAGGATTGGTTGATCCACCAGTTTATCAGGCCATCCATACCTACAAACAATGAGTACCTTGTCAAAAGAACACTGTCTGGCTAAAATGTATAAATCTCATGTATCTGTTACGTTATGCTTTCACGATAACCTTAGCGTAGGCTGTTTATCCTATGGTTA